GGGGGGGGGGGGGGGACGAGTAGGCAAGCATAGATAAGGCTATTGTAAACGTTTATGTACCTTCACACATTTTCTATCACGCCCCTATTTAACAAAACCAAGTCGAGTTCATGGTCCGTCTTGTCTTTCCCAGCGCTGGAGTCAAGGGACAAGGTTCCCCCCTTTGAATCACGAAACGTACGGACTACATCTGGAGTCACCATACTTAGTATCGACAACTACAACAACGACTGAAAGCATGTATGTACACTTCACCCAGGTTATTGCTTCAGCAGATCCAAACGTATACGTAGATGGAGCCCATCATGCGGACCTGGCCTCTGAGATCTGCCAGATACAAAGGGAAGGCAGCTAATAAGGAGAAAGGTGGTTGGAACGAGTGGTACAGTAGGAATGATCAGGACCGATTGTTATTCCGGACTGGTTATGAATGATCCGAATAATCATTGGGGTCTAAAATGAACTGATCTGATCTTTTGTAAGGGCGTTCCTAACAGAATTCCACCAACACCAAACAACTCAGAACAAACGTTTCTTCATCGGAGAGACAGCGATGCCAGCCCCTGTTACAGACCATACTACTCGTACGCCACACCAGACCGTATTGTAGCCCTAGACTTAATTTTTTATACTTATAGACACGACCACTACAAAAGCCAGAAGAAGCAGCACCGCGGGCATCCTGACTCCGGATGCGGCAGATGAAAGCAGAGGAACGGACGGCGTCGAGGCCGGATTTAGAGAAGAGAAGGCGGTGGATGCGTTAGCTGTGTCCATCGTGGAGTGATTACTGACCCCTGAAAAGGAAGAAACGGAGGCGGATACAGCTCGTCGCTTCGACACTGTGTTTGTTTGCGGGGCGACTGGTGTTGTTTGCGTGAATGCTAGGTGACGGCCGTTGTCCATAAAGCAGATTGGAAGTTATGGAAGACCACGGAAGTTCTCTTGAAAAACGCAAGACGTGAACGGTTCATACACAATTTAATCTAATTGTCTTTTACATCCCCAATCAATGACCATAACTAACATTTGATAAACGGTCGTGAGTGAGGAAAGTGGGGAGTATAACCGTGACCGCCTTTTGTGGTAAACTGGACCAATTCGCACTGTATCAGGCTCGCGGTCGACATTTAAGACTAGAATATCAGTGCTTTAGGCTCCACATCCGTGCGAATATAGTGCGATACTTGCAAAAGTATCAGGAAGGCGCGATGTAAACAAACCCCCTTTTCACACCCCTCTTTAACGATTCACTCTTCTCTGTGCAAAGGGGGGGGGGGGGCGGTCGGTGTGCAGCGACTCTCCGCATCACGTTACCCTCTTCGGGAAATCTCTTCTTAAAGGACCATCTTTAATGCCACAAGATGCACAGCAAATTCACGACAGATGCGTCACGGGTGCACAGGGCACACGCCTGTTGTTTGACGCCTGTGTGACAGCGCTGTCTTGCACTGAGAGCGCTAAACGGCCCACTGTTGTTTCTCTCATTCACTTGCCATTACAGCATCGCATGCTGAAAACCAGAGAATGCAAACCCAACTTCACAGCAAATGCGACATTGCGTGAGGATCTTGGACTTTTCAGGGGGTCTTGCGTTCTCTGCTTTGTCTCGCCCTGCATCTCTCTCAGTCACTAATCGTTCTGATCGCTGTTCCCATCGCCGTCGCTGTCGCCGTCGTCGCCTTCCTTGTCGCTATTGATCTCAATCGGTGTCGCTTTTGCAGTTGATTGTGACGCACATGCTTGGCAGCTCTGCCTTGTATGCCTGCTGCTATGATGGTGGTTGCGTGTCTGGCAGCCTGGACTGTCGTGCATGGCGTTGCGGCAGTTCCATTTGAACCCCTTTAGGCATTCCCGCTTCCACTCGTCGGTATCAATTTCGCCCAGGTAGTGGTCGTGCTCGTCCCAAACGCTGCCGTCCATGTCGGGGATGAATACCTGCAGTCCGAGCCAGTCAGAAAACAGAAAAGACGGTGAAAAAAGACGGAGAAGAGAACATACCGCTGTGGTAGCGGCAGACGGTGTCACCACGATTCGTGTCTTGCGTAAAACGCACGCGCAGTCGGAGCAGACCATGCAGTCGTCGTCTGCTTTGCGCTTTGCACTGTTTGTCGTTTGCGCTCGCTGTACAGCCTGGCTTCCCTCGTTCAGCGCGCGCGTTGAATTGAACGCGTCAAACTTGTCGGCCAGTGCGACTGTGCGCTGTCGCAACACGCCATTCTCTTTACACAGCTCCGTGAGAATGCAGTAGGCTGTACTATCCGACATGCGGGCGATTCGTTCCATTTGTCGTGTTTTGTCGTCAAAGGACATCTTGGCTGTGTTGTAGCGTTGCAAATGCGATTCATAACTCTCCTGCACGCAAATTAGAAGAAGCAGAGTTTTGGTTTTTCTTGCTTCCATTTCATCGAGAACAGTTTTAGTTAAACCTTTTTTATATTTCTTCATCTCCACCTCGTCGCATCCATCCTCGTCAAGTGCTATGGATATCCTCTGGGCCCACCCTTACACTCCGCTCAAATAGACTTTGTGGGGCTCTGGAGTGCCCGTGGAGTTTTCAGCGCCTAACGTCTTGGCCAGAGTTCTTATGATTCATTTTAAAGTATGGCCACGGCTACAAGGCCGGTGACGGTGAGGGTTAGCGACGGTGAGGGCCAGTGGCGGTGAGGCACGAGATGGACCGTTGCCAATACGCGACGTCGTGTATGTCTCGTGAGGGGAAAATCAGTAGAAAACAAAAGAACTACCCCGAGCCGCGGTCGTTCCTTTCTCGTTCGAGTTCGTCTCCTCCACACTCCAATTGAACACGGGGTCCGTTCCGGGCGGACAGGACCCATAGAAACCCGAGAAGGTCCCACAGGCCGGTCCAGGGGTTGCAGTTTACTGGAGTTTTGGTGGTCTATAAAAACGGGCGTTTTGCATGCTAACTGCAACACCGGTGAACCCGTATCGTATGGTTAACGTAAAACATTCTTGAGAATTGCTTTCACAGTCATCAACTCAATTGCATTTATTAAAGGAATGTTAATTTTTTCTTTAAACATAACAATATCTCACAAATATTTCCCGTCCAATTATGCCCTCTTCTCGGCATGTTCTGCAACATTCAGTAAGGTAAACAAACGACGTTCTTTTAGCTACGCTTTGTCAAATCTGCATGCTGGCTGGCGCGTGATTGACCTTGTAGCAGTAGCCGCAAGACGGCACCGACTCGTAGCCCGTGCTGACCGCCTTACTCTACTAACAGTTAGCGTCGGTTACACGGCATCTGTCATGCAACCCTTTCTTACCAGGCCTCTATTACCCGTGCCGTCGCTATTGGTGGTTGTCCGTCGACCGCATTTTCAGTGCATCCGCTGCTGCCTGGCCCTATCATGGTACGGCGGCTGGGATATGTATGATTCCTTGATTCCGTGGCCAACCATACTAACATTCGTCAACTCCAAGCCATTACGAAATATTTCTTGTAAGCTATTGCAACTGCATAGTTCCAACTGCAGAAACTGTCGTCCACAAGCTCTTGAACGTTGCGGCTTCGATCACAACCACGCCGTGACACCTTTTCCGTGGTTCCCCAAATATTTCAGAGAAGCGACGGATCTTACAATGGATACCGAGTCTTACTCGGGTGTTCCGTTCGACATCATCCAGGATAGGTTCCATCACCAGGTTGGCCAACACGGACATGAGCTCCTCTCGTTTGTTGCCGAAAAGCTGCGAAACGCCTCTCCGGGCATCTCCATTACCCTCGGCCGCCTCGAAATGCCCGCCTCTCAGGTTAACTGGCTATGGTGTGTAGGAAGTGCGGACCAGGCTACGGAGCAAGCCATTCTACACTTCTTCCAAACAGATTCCGGGAAGAGGGCTTTGGTCTCCGACGGCCCGGACGCGGTCAAATTCAAGCTGGCTAGTGTTCTTTTGCGTCTGCCGCCCAGCGAGGTGGAGGATCCCGTCCTCCCAGAGGACTTGGCGGCGGCTGCAGCTCCTCTTGGAGACGGCCAGGAGGCCATGATTTTATCAAAGACGCCACCCCACCCCGTCTGCATTCCTGCTCGAACCAGTGGCTGGCTGCAAGTGTCTCCTCACAGGCAGTTCTCTCGAGTTTCGGTTCTGCAGCTTCAGGAACAAGCTCGTAAGTATGTCCAGCTTACCAGACTTAAGCACGTCTGCTAATCATACGAATAAGCCGCAGATGCCGAAAATCTTGGATCCTGGCTTGTGAGTACCGATGCATCGACGGTCTATGGGAACGTCGCCGCCATTTCTGGGTCTCGGAGTATTTTGGTAACGCCGTTGGCTCCACGATAAAGAACAAGAATGATGACAGAGGAACCTAGATATACGACGGAGCACGCTCCTTGCTGGCTAGTGGTCTAGCTGGTGGTTTAGTAGTTACCGAATGCTAGTAATACAGCTCGATTAACTTGTATTCCATTAGCCGTCTTGTGGATCCAATGGTTAATTTTCGGGAATATTTTTGGTAGCATATTAGCAGCCAAAAAAAAATTATGAAAACGATGTACTCCTGTGACACGACTCCCGATTTATGTGTCATTTTTTATCTGATGTCATATTAAGCAGTTCTACGGTAGGGAAACAATTATAACGAAATCTTAACAAAATGATGATAAATATCAACTAACGATTAATTATACTTGTCACATATAACGAACTCATAAGTAATAAGGAATGCAATTAACTGTAGCAGACTATAATCGCCTCTAGAAACAAGCCATCCAAAGACACAAACAACTAAATCAGAAGCCTGTTGTACACCGCCTGGATAGGTGCCACAACTTGGCCGTAGAAGATACCGCGGAACGTCTCCATCTCAAAGATGTTGTGCGAGTCTGGGCCAGCAAAGCTGAATCTGATGCACTTTTTGGCTGCATCTCCATATGAAACGCCTGCCAACTCATACACCTTGTCCAGGTTGCGCATGGCAAACTCGTAGCGGGAATTGATGATTGACAAGGGTGTTTCGAGAGGCTGCTGCTGCTGAGAATCGTCCCGCGCATCCGCATAGCACGTTCCCACGCACAACTCCACCAGAAGAATGCCTAGGGAAAACACCGTTACGTTGGGAGCCAGGAGCTTGTCGGAAGCGCTACGACCTGCCGTGTTTGGAATGGGGCTATCGTCGGCTGCGTCGTGGACGGCACCATCGTCACCATCGTGGCCAAGGAACGTCTGTGGTGGCGGCACGAAACTGGACAAGAAGCATGGACGGTCTGCGAGTCGCTCCGCGTTGTTGTCCGGATGCTCGAAAAAGATGCCGACACGACTTCCGTCCCAGTCATTGGTGAGCCACGGGCCACTGCTTAGGTGCAAAACCGACATGGCCGCATACGCCACCAGGCCACATGCTGCCGCGTCGTCTGGGCACGAGACGACTGTACGGTTATTACTCGCAAATGGTGCTAATGTCGATTCGCAGGACCGACAGGGACACACACCGTTATTTCCTGCCATAACACGTGCGGAAGAGGCTGTCACACAAATACTACTCGATGGTGGCGCCGACGCCAATGGGAGTGATGTCTTTTATAATACGCCGCTGTTATATGCTGCAAGGATAAGATCCAAGGCCAATTTTGAGTTGCTACTCGAAAAGGGAGCCGAGGTCGATGCGATGGACCAAACGAAACGAACACCACTCTCACATGCAGCAGAGGCAGGGAAGCAACACAACGTCAAGTTGCTACTCGAAAAGGGCGCTGACGTCGACTCGAGAGACTTTGAGAGACGGACACCACTATCATAAGCAGCACAGAAAGGGCACGAGAATGTCGTCAGGGTATTACTCGACGGGGGCGTTGGCGTCGAATCGAGAGACTTTCGCGCACTGACACCACTATCATATGCAGCAGAGGAGGCGAAAGACGACATCGTTAAGATACTACTCGAAAAGGGTGCCCACCTCGACGTGGAAGACCAACATGGTCACACGCCGATGTGGTACGCCACCGAAAACGGGCGTGAAACCACTGTTGCATTGTTAGAATCATATGGCGCCGCGAGACCCACGTAACATCATGACTCTGATGCTGGTTCCTGCAGCCACCAAGTTGGCGTAGAAGGACGGGTCCCTGTATTTCGTATGTATAGAACCAAGTTTGTATTTCTGTGGCCAGGGTGATGTACATACTGCTTGCATAGTTTCTTGGGAATCCGACGCGAAGACGCCCCTCGTGGAACCATTCCGAGTTTATCCAAGAACAAAACTGCATTTATCATCGGAAATCATTTAACGCATTAGACGCAGGTCTATCAAACATACCCAATCAGAGAACTGTACACACCACTGCACAAAAATGGGCACAAACGCACACGTACTCCACCATCTACAGCCGCACAAACGGGTCGTCAAAGTACCAGACCGGATCGCCCTCTGGGCCAGCCTCGCAGTTGGTGTAGCCGTTGCCCATGAACTGGAAGCGGTTGCCGGAGCGGTAGTCGATCTCGTAGTCCTCCCAGCGGACGGTCTTGAGCATCTCGAAGAGGTGGAGACGCGAACCCGGGTAGATGGCGGTGACGGGCCGCGGGTCTTGCCCATTTTGAACTAGGAGCGGCAGGCCGAGGACCACGCTAGCCGCTTCATGAGGAGGATGGAGCTGTGCGAGGATGGGCTGTTGGGGCCGAGTAGGACTGTGTATGGTAGCGACGTCCAATACTGTACGAGCGAGATGAACGTACGGAATAGATTGAGAAAGTTTTCGGCGGTGATGCCGAGGTAGCCCTGGGGAAAGTGTGAAGCCGGAGCAGGTGACGGAGATTCTGGAGATCGTAGCACTACCGGTACGAACTACAAACATTGATTCACCCATCGTGACGGCGCGTGGAACGGGGGGTCTGGGGCGTTTTTTTTCTTTTTTTTTTCCTACACGGAAAGGGGCACACTGACGAGAGAAAGTGGTGGGATGCAAAATGTCATGGAAAAAGGAGAAGACAAAAGCGGGCGCCAAAGTGCTCACTGTACCCCATTCCCGAGCCCAAAGAATGATAAAAAAAGCCTCTATCGAGACCGCGTCTGCTACCCGGTAGATGTACGGGGTTTACTCCGTCACCTGGGGTGCGCCGCCACCTGCCCTTTCCAATTCCCAGCCCGTCGTTTCCACGCTGGCCCTGAACCGTCTTCTCTCCTCGACCTCTGTTTTCTTCCTCTTATGTTGTTTGCCCGGAAAGACCGGTACTTGAGAAAAGGGGGAGCATATGGCCCGAAAATGCACGCACCTCGAAAGAGAATTTTATTGTAGCATACGCTCGTTGTTAAAGCTGTTTTTCCGACGCCGCCGTTTCCCCGGACCACCACTTTAATCTGCGTCATTGCATACATGGCGGCAAGGCCAAGGACAAGGTAGCGACGTGAAAAATGGCTGAAAACGTTCAGATGCAAAAGGAAGCAAAATGCTGTTCTGACTGTGTGGCTCGGTAAAATTAGTGGGCTGGAAGAAATCCTTGGTCGATTTAAAACTTGGTCGACTCGGGGTGATACGGCTCGTACTCAGGGATGACCTGTCACGGCAAGGGCAGCTTGCCAGCGGCCGCTACCACGATGCCAGCGACTGGAAGAAGATGTGACCATACGGCCGATACCTAGTGTTTAAATCGGCTAGTATGACTATAATGGGATGTTATTTCAAGTCATCGACGAGGGGTTAGACGAGAGGGCTATATGATAGAAGAAAGATGGAAAAGAGGAAAAAGGGTGAAAGAGGCCTGGATTAGTCCAGGGCAGTGAGAACAGGATGATGGTCCAGTGAACTACTAACAACGTTCCCTCCGTTAATTGACTTGGGCAAGCTAGTCTCCAGAAACTACCTGCCCTTTTTTTGTTCCTTGGTTCTTTTTTTTCGGCCAAGACGTCTTCGACCTATTTTTTTTCTTTGTTTCTCATTTATGTATTTGTGGGTTTCTTTTCCTTTTTATTTTTTAGACAAATTCACCACGTTTGCTTCTTTCTTCCACTCACATCCCCGACCAGCCAGTCGGCCTCGAGCGAAATGACATGGGAAGGGGAGGATCAAATGGAAAGCTACTGTTATATGCGCGCCATCTTCGGGAGGAGGAGCAGTCCCGAACCATTCGTGGTCTTAAACGTCTTTGGCGGTGATGCGTTGCTCAGGTTCGTAAATAAACATCCTGCGTAAAAGGTCGGAAAATAGTGTATCCGGGATCATGTCCTGTAAGAAGTAAGCCAAGCAGGAAGGCCGTAGCAGATGACTCCAAAAAATTATTTCAATGGGCTGCATTAGCTCTAAAGACAGGATCCTCGAAGGCACCGAAATGCGGCAACCTGTGAATTTCTGTATCATGGCCAGATGCTCCCAGTCTCGTCTCACGTCATCGCTTCTTGGCTGGATGGACTGACGACGAGTTTCGGACGTCTGCCGTGAAGATTCCTCATCGCCTGTAGTGTCGCTGGATCGTTTCCCGAGGGTAGATGATGATGCCATCGGTGGGTGAGTCCGACTTGCTCGGTCCATAGAAGAACTTTGCTTTGTCGACGCTGCAGACCGGCAGGCTTTTCAATCAGCAGTGTTTGGAGGGGGTCGGCAGAAAAAGGGGGAAGGAATAAAAGACCAGATTTATGATGGAGTTCGACAGGTGAGAGAAAGTAAGAAATCAACTGGGCGGCCTAAACATATCTGTTTTAACATGTGCTCGGCCATGGTTGCAGGGACCCATGCCTCGATGGTAATTAAATGTAGGGGCCGTCAAGAGTTGATAGTCTACATTTGGCCGTCTGAAAGCAGATGGATACGGTAAAACGAACCAACCCTCTGCCTCGTCTTGGACGATGGACGGTGGGAAAAAAAATTGGACGGCGATAAGCGCCGGGCAGGTAATAGAATCACTAACAGGGCTGAGACACTCAAGGCGGTCCTCGCTCTACTCATCTTTACTGTTTGTTACCAGCGAAATGCTCCTCCTTCCAGAAGAGGGTGTCTCCCATGCTATGCGTGTAAAGGTATTCTCGGAGGCGTATTTTATGGATACTCCGCATGGACAAATATTTTAGTAGCTTGCCCCGGAAACGACGCTATGCAGCAGTGTGTGGTCCAAACGCGGTACGGTACGATTTGATGAGGCACTCCGGGGCACCGCTACTGTTGACAACCACCGGTTATCGATGTGGACATTAAGAGTTGCCTCATGGAAACTATCACCAATCCACAACACGTAACACAGCTTGTTTAATGCTTTTGCTTTGCGATACTACAGAAAGAAGCCCAGAGGAAGTGAAGAACCCTTGCCTTTTCTCTTTCCAGCAAAATTACCGTCTCATTGCAAACGCACAAAGCTTCACCGAAATTGTTCAGCGAGGAATACAGTCCGTGCGATCTAACGCCTTGACAACGAAATCCTATCTATTAATACGCTATTTCCGCAGAAGCATAACAACGAAATCACATACAAGAGTGGCATTCAGCTCAGAGAGCTCAATTGGGGGATGAATAATATTGCTTATCCCCTGTAAGTGTTTTGCGCGGGTGTCGTCGTCTTTAAGTTTCTCCAGCAAGTCGTCGTTCTTTGGGATTTCTCCGATCGCCGCCAGGAAGTGGACAAGAATCTCCTCTTGTCGTTGGTCCAGTTCGCCTTTTATGTGATCCACACCGTCTGGAGCTTGGTATCGGGTTAAGAAATCAACCAACGCCCACTTCTTTGGCTGGGGCGGTGGTGTCATTGTTAGTGTGTCCGTGTTGTCCGTGTCTGATGTTGAAATGGAAACGGTAAAGTGCACACCAGAGCAGCATCAACAAATGGCGATACCTCGCAAGAGACAAAGATGATAAAAGTAAAGGTGAAAAAAAAACGACAAGTAGGACATTGACAGGAAAAAAGGGTGTTTCACTTTTTGTCGTTCCTTTATTCAGAATGGGAACCTCAGCGGTAGGGAGATAGGCCTCTGGTCAGCGCTGATGTATCTAAAACAGCGGCTGCGCACTGGCAGCCATGTCGGAGCCATTCAACACTTATGAAGTATTCCGGACCTGTACCAACTCGGAGGAGGACAAGGCGACTTGACCTGTCGACCTGCAAGGGTGGAATTTGTCCTACTCGCCTCTATGGATCGGTGTCTTCTGCAGCGCATCTTGGCTGGACTGCGTCCTGTCTTGGCCGCAGCCACATATTCCGGCCAGGTGGGTGTGATTACCAGTACCACGCCCTCACCCAAGACAGGGTGGACGATTCTCCGTGCAGCGAGCAACCCAAACAAGTACAAGAAGCAGCTCACAGCCGCTGCAGCAAGCTGTCTGGCCCCCCGCAGTCCAATTTAAAAGATGCTGAAGTTGACTTATCTCCCAACGAAGACGACCGAACGGATGATCCTCAAAACCCACACTCGAGCGCGCTCGGCTACGAGTTCGATGTTAAGGAGCAAGACAAGTGGTTGCTCGCAGTCGATGGTGATCTGTTCTACCTCTTTGATGTCTTTTGCCGTCTTCCCGTTTTATTCTGTTTTCCTTTGTCCCCCGTCGGTATCAAGGGTTGACACGATTTAAACGACGTGACTAAAGAAGCTTTGCTCTAGCTACTCGCGTTGTGAAACGTGCGCTCCCAAAGGATGCCAAAACTGCGAAAGAGGCCGAGGAGTCCATGCAAGAGTGTGTCTGCGAATTCATCTCATTTTCCACGAGTGTATGGTTCAAAGTCCTGGGTTGGCTGGACGATGTCTGAGCATGTGTAACTGTATGCCGCGTTGTTGAACCGTTCTGCAAAGGATGTTTGACACTCTGTGGGCCGCCCATTGCTTGGTGCACAACTAGAGTGCTGTCCTAGAAAAGAACCCTATCAGAACCTTCGGATATCTGACGGCACAGCTTAACTTCCTTCACTTACAAAAACATGCGGCGGCGCGTCGGCAGTCCGGTCGTAGCCCAGTTTCCAGTCTTTCTCTGGAATCGGGGCCACCACGGGTCGTAGCGATAGTGATTGCTGACGTGTATATCGAGGAATGACATGCTGCTGGTCGAGAACAGGCTCCTGGGGATCTGGAAAAACAAAGGGGGTTATGGGGGATTCAGAGACCACCGGTTTGCGTTTTGCGTTTTGCGTTTTACTCTACCAGCGGTTCTGCCGGGGTGGTGGCTGTGTCAAATATGAAAAATCACGCGACTGATGACACCAGCCGGCGTGACAAGAGGACATAGAGTAAGAAAAGGGTGCGAGACACCATCGTACGGATTTCATCTGTATCGGTTCCGACTTCTGTTTTCTTCTGGCCTGCTCTTCGTGTCCTTTTGTCGCTTGCCTGTCGTTGCGATACAGGTATCTGTCCTATCTCGGACAATCTGTGCTGAGCAGATTCGCTTGTCTGTTTTGTCACGGCGAAAGCGCGTAAATGACCATGGGTCAAGTCCAGGGACTTGCTCGTCGGAGATCGTGGCTAGCAGTGTGGCGATATAACGGACCCGATCTTTGGTGATACTAATACGAGATGTTTCAACTGACGTCCCCAAGGTAGATCTGGTGTTCAGCTCGGCGAGCAGGCAGCAGATAATGTGGCGGCCGTCGTGAAGCGTGTTTCCAAGTGTACCTCAACCTGTCCACGGAGGGGATGGCTGCCGAGGCATGGATTTTGTTTGTGGGGAGGGCTTAAGTATTTCTTCAAGACAAACAAAATGAGCTACCCATGCTTTGGCGATCGTAGCCAGGCCAGCAGAAGTACTTGCCACCTGCTTCATCCCGTTCGCTGGGGAACGTTAGATATCTTCGTCTTAGACGTCATCTCACCTTGACTGGAATGAAAGGCCAAACCATAGGGAGAGGCGTGTGCGAATGCTAAAGCTCGCCGTCGTGAGCCACTCTTTGTGGTCAAAGCACATGTTGCTAAATGGGAACAATGTTGGCTCTCTTTCGAGCTGATGCCCAAGGAGATTCGGCTATGGACCACGTAGAGTACTCAATTGCTACCAAAAGGTCCTCGTCTCGAGCCACAGAACAGTACACCATATTCCAGTCTGCAGTTTTTCTATGCACACGCAGGCGCATGTATCTTTTTGTAATGGGGTTTTAGTGTTCGAAATAACAACGGTGGGAGTGTCCCTGTACCTGACGAGTATGAAGTCGAAAATATGCAGTCTTGGGTCGTTATTATATAATAGAATTATCAGCTCTCTCATAAAAGGACGATAGGACGAACTCCTTTGGATCCAACGAATAACGAGAGAAATGGATACAAATACTGAAAATGACGTCCTCATACCGTATTTCGTAATCCTGACCAAATCCTTGGAACGGCAAGTTGCCTTGATCGAATTGACTTTCGGGCTTCTCAAACGCTTTCTGCACCTTCCACGTCATGTCTATGAGGCGTATAAGCAAGTGAATGTCTTGGCGAATAAGCAAATGTAGACAATAGCGTTCTGATTGCTCCAAAGCGTCACGTAGCTCTCCTCGAAGGTAGGGTAGAATGCTCTCTTTTTTATGTTGCCAGAGCTCACAGCTCGTGCAACCTTTGCAGGGGTTATCTTCGCAAGAACACGGAGCCTTGCTAGCCGAACAAAGGCACCTTCGACTGTCGTCAATCCAGCTGTATCGTGGGCGTCTCGGACGTACGACACCCTGGACATACTGGACAAGTGTCCCACTTTTTTGGAACAACATTGGTATCTTGTATCTCGTAACGGTGGCGTTGCGGGTGCCCTGGTGCCTGCGAAAGTAGGGATGCCTTCTGTAGTAGGTCTCAGTGGGGAGACTTGACAGTCCGACGATAGTATCATAGGTCGGGAGGATAGGCGCTAGTAGAGGTGACAGGAAGGTCGCCTGTCCAGGGTCAAAATCCGGTGGACAGTAGTCACCTGTTCAAAAGAAGGTGTCAGCAAGAAAACGGGCCGGTGGGTAACCGGCCTCGAAAGTAATAAAGTCATCTTACTTGACGGCCAATTGTCGGGTGGTGGAGGAGAGGGCAGGCGTGGGTAATTGACGGTGGGATATTGACGGAAGGGCGTGTCTTCTGGACCATCTCCCGGAGGCGGGGCTGTCGTTTCACATGTTTTAGTAAAGGTTGGTAACTCTCTGCTGTTCACAACTAAGAGAACGTCCCTTACCTAAGTTGAGCTTGGAAACCATTTGTTCGAACACGGTCTTGTCTGTCGTGTCCATTTTATCCACGATGGAGCCGGCAAACGCGACTTGGTTGTGTTAGCATTTGGACCAAAGGAAGAGAAAGCTTTGTAAAACATACCAACTGCAGTGACTGCTTCCGATACGCTCATTTTCGGTCCTGAGACGTTAACGCCGCTCGCCACTGCTCGGTTTGCGTGAATGCAAGAAGAATGTGGGACTGGCGTCCGTTCTGGCGCATGTCTCTTCGGTGACCTTTGAAGTGGGGCCGATGCGATTCGCTTTGTCCAATTCCTTGTTCTTGGCGACGTCACTAAGGCCTGATCGGATGTAAACTCCGTAGCACCGGCATCAGTACAAATCATTTCTTCTCCGAAGCCGCCGGCAAACTCTTGTGTGTCGTCAGGCGGATCAACAGTAGGTCGAATCGCCCGGAACATCTCTGGCAGTAAACTGGAAGCTGTTATCGAGTCAGACAAACCGTGATCGGGTGCGCATTGCGTGTAAAGGTCGTTGGTTGCTCTTTTAGTTAGTATGCTGCATAAAAGGCTGGCATAATAAACAAGTACGCATACCTAAAGAAGGCGACACGGGAGTTGCGTTGTCATATGTGCCTAGGAAATCCCCAAACCACTCGTCCAATGTGCCATCCACAAGCACTGGATCCGTGGCGCCCGTCACCCCAATTGAGCCAGTAGGTGGCGTGTCGCGAACTGTTTGATTTTGCTGTTGATTTATTGGCGGGCTGGAAGTCGCTGACGTACTGTGCAATGCACTTGGTGACTCTGCTTTCTGCCTCGGTGAGAAGACATCATTGGCCGGCGTGTCGGATGGTGCTACACCATCTGACAGTGCGATGCTGGGCGTATTGTCAGTGCTCGTCTCGTTGGCGGGAAAAGCATCGGCGACTACAACTCCGTGGTCGACCACGCGCGGCGGGCAAATCGTGCCGACAGGCCCCAACGGGATTCTGTCCATGTCGATGACGGTACACTCCTCCGTAGTCTCCTCTGGGGACTCGACCGTGTCGACTGCTGCCACGACTGTCTTTCCCTTTTCCTCTGCTGCTCGCCTGAGGGCAACGCGCCTGCTGCTTGTGTCTGGTGTCGAGGAAATGTCCGCTTCCTCTTTCACGGCACGCTTAAACGCCGCCGGATCGCGCACGAAATTTTCAGTACTGTCGAGAAAGTGGTCTGCGCAACTCCAGTCGTCGGTTTGCTTGGGCACACGGGCGAGAGGCTGGTCGACAAGTTGGAAAGAGGAGAAATACCTCTTCAGGGCCACACGACACTCGTCGTGTCCTCTTGTACTCAACGAATCGAAAAACGTAAGCTCGAAACCGTTGGTGTTTCCAACTGCAGTGCTAGGTGCGCTGCGCCAGAGTACTGCACCGAACCAGTGCCTTTGCCGAGGGTCGTGGACTGGTACGATAATGTGATCGTACGCCGAAAGATCCACGCCCTCTGTCCATTTGGCGCAGGATGTTCCTTGCAGCAAATTCTCGACGAGAAATGTATTAAAGAAGAATGTATTGCTGGGATGCTGTTGGCCGATGGTGAGAAGGCCAAAATTAACCATCGCGTCGTTCAACCACTGTCCGTCGTCGAGCGTGTTGATGTCATGCGTGGTTGGCACTCCCTGAACGAGCTCGAGATAATTGCCTCGGCTGCCAGCACCGCGAGTCTCGTCGGCCCGCGCGTAGTCGGGGCTGGATGCATTCTGTTTTGAAGATGGGCGACTCGAACAGGCGGAAGCTGGGAGAAAAATAGCGTTAGGCCAGGAACGAAGAGAAAGACAGACGTGTTAACATACCTAGCCCCGCAAGTGTCTCAGCTGCTTCTCGTGTCTTTGTGACTACGTTGTCCACGCTCGTTTTGTTCCCGTCCTCGCTGGCATCGGTGCTCGTGCCTTTTACACTGCCATGCCGGGATCGTAGAACAGCGGCTTCCACGATCTCCTTGACTTCTTCGACCACTGTTGAGACGTCGGTCAAACAAATCAATCCGTTTCGGATTCTGTCGCAGAACTTGAGCGGATCGACCGAAATCGACTTCAGGCAAGGGAAGACTAAGAAATTGCTGTTGTTTTTGTCGTGTCCAGCGTCGGGAAGTTTGAGAAGCTCCGTCTCCTCAGGCCAGTCTGGTGGAGTGGGTGCCTCGTTGGAAAGAACAATGACAGTCCATTTCTTGTCGTCAATGTTGAGCCTGATAGCAACATACCACCAACCAAGAAATCGAAATGGAAAAGTAAAACAGTCGAAAGAGCTTCTCAATCCGTCGTTGGGAAAGACGGCTGTTGTATTTGGTTTTTTTATCCCTGCCTTCTGGAAGATGACTTTCGACCTGGATTGCTTGGTGATATGCTGTAGAAAAAGATTGACGACCATTTCCGAGAAGCAGTGACGGGAGACTTGGAGGATATGTTTTTTGCTCGGTCGATAATCAAGAGAAAGCTCCCTTTGTTGCAGTTGTCTGCATATCCCGACTGGAGACCTCTCTAGCAAGCCGTGTGCGTCGAATTGGTAGTCGTCCGGCAGGGCGTCTTGGCTTGTGAGAGGCGAGAGCTGTGTTTTGCGGATGATTCGCAGATGACGAAGCTGTAAGCAGAAGTCAGAACCGGACTTGCCCTCGACATCCTCTTCGTAGAACGCCCGACTGGCGTATGAGGCAAACTTTGCCCATCCCATCTGCGCCGCGAGCGCGCGCAGTTCTTCGCAAAAATGCCTCCCGCGAGTCCACCACTTGTAAAACGTGGTGAGCTGGGGACTCCATTGTTTCCCAACTGATGTGAGTGAGACGGCCCCTATGGCGAGGTCTATTTCTGAGTCTGCAAAATTGAATGCTCCTGCCCCTTCTCCACAGATGTATCGTGCAACGAAGGCGGCAAACTTTGGTGGAAGCACACGAATCAGTTCCTTTTCGACATTTTTTCGATTCGCGTGTACTGCTTTTTGCAATTGTTTGGCCACGGCAACTGCCTCAGGGCCGAAAATGCCCAGGTGTTCGAGACTGAAGTTGCCGACGCCTTTCTTGTTGTTGCGGACAGCAGCTTTTGTTTTTTTTGGCATATTGGTAAATGGCGTTGGAGATTGGACTGATAGGGTAAATTGAAGTAATTTTTTTTTCTTTGAGTGGGAGGGTGAGGGAGGATTTAAGAGGTATTATTGATTTCTCGAATCGGTGTCCTTGGGGTCCCCAGGAAAACCGATTCCTTGAGCATTTTATGTTTAAAGCCTTCCCGTATCGCTACTTTATCTGCTATACCTTAATCTTTATAATGTCTTGTATATGTACTTACTATTTAATAAGGTGACAGTCAGACTTGTACACCCTACCGATCTTCCACGATTGGAGGTCTTGCCTTGTAGAGAAATCCCGAAAAGATGACCATGTCACTCACAGCAGGCCTTGTGATTGGAATACGGGTTGGTGGGCAGCCTTGGGCAAAAGCGGTCACAGGTGTGTGTGGGCTGACAAGAGAGTTCCTGGCCAATAAAGCGCAATAATGGCGGTGAGCTCTCCTCGTTTTGTCTTGCCCATTTTTTATTTGCAGTCGGCCGACTTATCAAGTGTGACGACCTGTCGTTTGGTGTGTTACATCGGGAGACGAAGACAAATGCTGCATGTGCGAACAGCACATGCGCTAACCATTTTAAGCAACCTACCAGGGGAGGAGTGGGGAGCGACGGAAGGCCGCCGGCGAGACGGACGAAACTATTTTGTACTTCTACTTTTACATACTCGCATCTCTCGTAACGTCTACTGAACCTCTACTTATCCTCATGACCAGGGAACCAACCGTCGTCGGGATGGCCCCTTAGTTTCCAGAAATCGAGCCCCGCCCAACTGTTACTGTTTTTATGCCTTTTTGTTGCCTAGGAACTCCATTAACGACCCTCACACACTCTCCAAAGAGCTGGCCTTCCAAAGCCATGTAAGGTGTATCTCTATCATCCAGTGTTGTATCTAAAGAGGGCGCGTTTCCAACGTCACCCGGGAATGTTCTTCTCAGGTTGCTGAGATTGTTGCTCTCGGATATATGGGTTACTACTTTAATTTTATACCTGCGTATTTTTAACAGGAAGCGGAGGAAGACGCAGGCTCGATAATCGTCTGAGAAGGCCCAGCAATGTTCTTCGGTTGTGGTCGACGCACTTGCGTGGGCTGAACAGTATACTGAACCTAAAAGAAGCGACGAGGACCACGAGGCTGATTCCCTTCTAAATCATTATTTTCCCCACTCCCCCGTCGTTTTCACCCCTGCCACCCACCGGCAGAGTTCGAACCAGATCGCCTGTGGGACAAGCGAGGCAAGTGGAGGAATCTCCCTTGTTCATTTTTGTGCATGCACGGAAGACAAATGTAACGAGCTGGTAGCCGGGCACAGGTCGATATCAATTGGACAGTGGAAGATACACATACAGACTTTGCGAGCCAAATCGACTGCTTACATCAGTCGTGCGTGGGAAATTTCTCAAACAAAATTGGCAGATTGCATTGCGCTCCCTGCTCCCGTTTCCTTTTTTAAACTCTGAGAGAAATGAGCGGCTGGAGATGCTCAACATTGACGGGATGGGTATTCGAGAAAGACTTGTGCAGTGCTATCAGTGCTACCACCTGCGAGGGGCCAGAAAGAAGAAAACGAGGGTTGGATTGAGAGGGCGAGTGTGCGGTGTCTGTATCTTCTTTCATCCTGTCCACAATTACAGCTAGTTGTAGTCAACGCAGAGCAGCTCTTTCTCCCTTCTCCCTGCGCCTTGTTTATTGCTTTTTGTTCAGAGAACAAAGATAACGTTACTTTAAAAAAGTGATGATATACATTCCTTAGAAAAGATTACGAGACGTTGACTGCGCCTTAAATTTCAAGCGGCTTTACCTATTATAAGGAGTTGGTATTGCAGCTTGAACAATACACTCTCTGTGGCCGAGAGCATTTTTGTTTGGAAGTGTAGATTCAGAGACAGGATGATACTCGTTGGTTGTCCATTGTCATCTTAGACAAATTAAACATAAAAAGAATACGTCGTTAAGAGAACATAGGGTCTTTTGAATTATGGGAAAATAGAAAACTGTTCCTCGTAATACCGACACTTCCTTTTTTGCCTTCGCCAGTTTGTACTTAATACAACAAAACGTTTGTTGAGGCTTACTCGAACCAGGTAGGACGACACTGCAAGGGATCTCTCGTATACGATACTCTTCCTTTGTAGATACCTCGGTATACTTGCAGCCCAAGTGATACACAAGTTTCATATTTCTTCCTCTTTCGAAACCTTGCTTTTGGGGTTACGAAATATTGCCAACGAGCACCACGTAGAGGAAGTTTGGGGGGTTGTGCAGAACCCCAAGCTTTGGCGGTATCCTTGATCCATGAAAACAAAGAGGTCGATCCCACATTGTAGACGAGAACGAAACCCTCTGTATCCTGAGTCCAGGAATCGATACACGTAAGATGTGCATAACCACCAGAATCAAAGATGTAAAGCACCGGGGGGGATGGGCGAGAACAGAGCAGGTCGGTGTCCACTCTCCACCTCCTCTACACTCGTCCTGAGCATCTTACGAGCGTTATTCAAGCTTTTTTGTCCCCGGTACATCTTCTTTTCGTTTACTCTTCATTTTCCCCAGGATGTGGTGCCTGTCTCTTACCGCGAATCGGCAGAGCAAGCCAGAACAGATGCGACCATTTCCCGTCTTGGTTTTATATTTTTCACCACTTTCTTCCTGTTTTGGACTCCATTTCCGTCTCCTTTCAGCCTTTCAATTTCTCAACCCCTCTTGCATTCTTTCTCCAGATAACCGTAGTCTAGTAGCTCTCTTCTCTTTCCCTCCTTTCACTTCTTTCCAACACAGCCTACGTCCTCGATCATACACGACACCGTGGACCATCGCTTATTTCAATGTCCGGCACGCGGCAAGGACAGCCACTTGCACCCAAGGCAGATGTGCCCTGAACAAGGGCCTGTCTTCTGCGCCGTTGATACGTTTGTTTTACTACCTTCGGACGATCTATCCTTCCCGGAAAGATACTTCGATTAACAGTCCCGACCACTGTTTACGCCAGCCGCAGCAAGGGTCGAGATCCCGGCCCAGGCCCGGAACCAGCGACGCCTATTAACGTACTTCCGGTCTGAGCACGCCCACTACAGTTAACGAGAATTGTGTGTGCCCTTATTAACAATGCATATCTTTAACGAACATCTAGTTAACTTTTCGGACAACTTGACGAGACGATCTTGTACAACCTCATGTACGGCCACCCTTACGTCTGAGACGAAGAGGTGTGCGAAGCATGTCGGGCAACAAGCATCGATGAACGCATTCTCACCTTCGCCAGCGGCTATAACACCAAGGTCGGTGATCGCGGTACGCTTTGAGCGGCGGCGAGAAGCAGGGCGTTGCCATTACACGAGCAATTTTAAAGGACCTAACGATCGTCATACTTGACGAGGCTACGTCGGCTCTGGACAGCAAGACCGAGCAGCAAATTCGACAAAAGCTTATCCGTGGTGGAAGCCTGGGTCAAGGCCGCACGCTTCTCGTCGTTACGTATGTTTACAATTGTTCCTTTCCCTCTCTTGTCGGGTCTTCGCCTAGATTGACATAGTCTCTGCTCAGGCACCGTCTCTCGACGATCGCAGATGCAGGTCAGATTCTTGTTCTTCACGCTGGCTCAATCGTCGAAAAGGGAACGCATGACGAGCTGCTCGCAATGAATGGCCGGTACGCTTTCATGTGGCTGAGCCAGTCCCAACAGGCAACGGGTCGCAGCCCGAGCCGACTTTTCGGATGGCGACCACCAGTAGTTTGAACTAATTTAACTTTTACGATTTTTCTTTAATTTGTTCCTCGATTCTCCGTGATATGATTCGTTTACCGTTGTCTCTTATTGTGTTTGTTAGCTCACCAGACTGCCATCGCTGTTTTTGTCTGATCTTAGTAGAGATTTTTTTTACTCACGGCATTCATGCTCTAAAGTTAAATGTCAAGCAAATTAATTCCGACAATACACAAGTGTTTTGCAATAATTTTTTTTTAAAAAAAAACCCGACAAGAAGGGGGAAAAAAAAAAAAAAGGAATCAACGTCGCTGTTCGACGCCCAGTGTCGTGACTGACTTGCTCTGCGAAAAAGGGCAGTTTGGGGGAAGGCACAAAAGGGGGGGGTGTTCCAGGTCAACCTCGCCTAAGTGTGAGTCCCATTCCTTTTGCGTGTTTCTCGCTCTCCTCCGCCCGGGCCTCTCGTCAGCAAGTGACGCTGCTCTTTGCTCTTTCCGCTGTAGCAAACCTGCGACCTAAAACGCCTTTCGCATTTAAACTGCTTTATTAATGCGTATACACCCACTCGTCGGCCCTCCCACTTTCTGCGTTCCTCTTTAGGATTTGTTCCCCCGTGTGGGTGATGTACCTGTCGGCCAATCTATGTCATACAGGCCGCTCCCATCGATCGCTCCATCTCCTGCAGGGCTGTGGACTCTGGGCGAGCTGAATCAACTCGTCGACCAAAAAATGGCCGTCTAAAACAGCCAGCACACACACCTAACGCAAATGCGTAAGACGCGACCAGCTTGTTCAGGAACGGAGAGTACTGGTCTACTACGCTGACGGGTGCAAGGGGCTGGGCCAAGAGCTGTTACACACCACACCTTTAACTCTGCCACGTCTCTCATTGTTTTCAAAGACGTGCTCACTCTCTTCTAGACTTATCATACGGAAATACTGCAACTGGCGTTGCTAGATAAGCAGCAACATCAAGACGAACTCTTTTGCTTTTCACTGTCCCCGACTCACACCATCCTCAAAACTGCCAACGCCGCTTTCTCATGACCGTAGTCATGTCTGACGGGCACTCAACTTACCCGTGGCCTCGTTCGTTGCCAGTGCATGGGCAACAGTCGTCGTTGACAGACACCAACCGTCTGCAACAAACCCCATCTACACGGCATCCTTGCGGTAACACGTCCCACGAACAGCATCAGATGAGCTGCGCAGCCAACACCCATTCTGAGCCTGAGATCTCAGCCAGCGTTGCTTATGGCCTACAGCAGCAGCGACCGACACATACCCCGTCGCAACACCTAGACGGAAACCAACTGCATACGAGGGTTGACGCCGTTGCCCAACGTGGGCAGCCAACATGGCCTCCTCAGCCGCCGCTGCCACACGCTCCGGAGCCGTCGCCTTCACATTTTCAGGAGCATCCGTACTGCCCCCAGGAGCCACCGCATATACGTCCTGATGCGCAGCTACATCAGCCAGCGCCGGTGCGGCCTCACGGACTTTCGCACGTGTCGCCGCCGCCGCAACAACTCCGGTTACACCAGCGGCCGCCGTCAGGCCCACGCGGACTACCTGTCACTCTTCAGTTGGGCGTCGCACTTCCAAGCCCTGGAGGAAAGAAGCAGGGGCATCGGGCGCATCGGGCGCACACAGCCTGCGAGCGTTGCCGGTCGCTCAAGATCAAGTGCGACGAGGAGAAGCCGTGCAAGAACTGCCGAGAAACAGATGCAGAATGCATACAGCGCGACACGGCATTCAAACAGTAAGAAAGACATGATAACGGATGAAACAAACTGAATTTAATCGTCCGTACTAAGCTAACAAATTTCTTGTTTAGGTTGCCTATTAATGAAGCGATCAAAAACGAGATCGCTAAATTAAGACAGGAACATCTCAACGGGATGGAGGAAGTAAAAAAGACGATGTGGCACATCATACAACAGACAGGAATCCGTTGCACGCCTGTTAATGGCGCCCTCAGGCAATCCATGCCTCTCGGCGACCCGGCAATCCCGGATCACTATGAGGCGTCGGCAGGCGTCGTGCTATCTTGGCCACCCATCGTTGAAAGATTGAGGGGCATATTGGAAGCACACGGAATCCAGTCCCCGCTCGAGTACCCGACACGATACGAGCAGCAGCGCGGCGTATCCTCCTGGCACTGTTGCTGCGAGGATATCACGAACGCACCCCTCTCCAACGGCGTCGCAGACGTTCACCAGCACACAGTGTGGGAGTATGTTGAGAGCTACAAGGAGAACATACAAAACATGCACCCCTTGATCAGCCCAGAAAGACTACGCGTCATGGTAACATTGGTCTTTGAGACCGTGTCCAGGGCTTCCACCACCCCGACCGGCCGAGCCCTGACGCGCAGCCGTGGGTCGCGAGCTGGAAGCGGTGACGAGGCGCTCGCTGCGCCACCGGAGTCTCGCTTCGGCCAGCTGCCATGCTGCGTCGAGAGTGCACTCGTCCTCATGGTCCTCGCACTCGGCAAACTCTGTCTGCACAGGCGCGTGTGCGGCGCCGAGGCTGCAGAGATGCGTGTCTGTGGCGACGTTCTCGGCTCGGAGTACTTTAGAACGGCGTACGGCATCTTTTGTGCCCTCCAAGACGCCCCCACGCTCGAGCACGCATGGTTTCTTATTCTTGGCAGTCTGTACTACGACCAGGTCGGGCAGCCGGTCGAAAGCTTCAATCTGCTGACCAAAGCCGGCGGCCACCTGCGAGACATCATCCAGCCCGACCTGGAGCGCTACATACACATCCGCGTGAGCGCCGGCGCGGGGCAGCCGTGGAAGCCCGGAGACCCTGCGATGAGTGTGGCCGACAACGAAAAATTGGTCGCAGCCTGGACTTGCCTGCTGCTTGAGAGAGGCATCTTGACCGAATTGCAGCTGCATCCGTCCCGCATGCTCTCGGGGCAGCAGCTGCCGTACCCCGATGGCCTCGTGTGGCACAATCAAGGCTTTGCAAAGAACGTTATCGAGGCGTTCGCCTGGCAGATGCACATGTACGTCCTCGTCCAGGACGTGCGCCACGACCTAAAGGGCTAGATTAAAGTTCCTATGATTGAAGCTTGCATCCAGGGGTTCGAGTCACACGCTGCGTCAAACCCCGCGTTCCGCAACAGCTCACTCTTCGACCGCTACCTGCGGGCGACTGACGTCTTGGCTGCGCACCTGCGCGTCACATACTGGGGTGCGGAACTGCTTGTGTACCGCCGTTACATCCAGCAAATCCTCGCATTCAATCATACAAAGACGGTAGGGGGTGCTTCCGAGGACGAGGGGCTCGTCGCACTCGCTAAAGAAGCCGACGTTGTTAACAAGTTCACCTTGGAGATGGCACGGCGCGGCCTCCATGCGCTTGTTCAGAGCACGAGCGCTTTTCACGACTTGCCAGACGAGCGGTTTGTTGTCACAAACATGTATAGTACCGCACATGCGCAATGGGGCGGCCTGCTCATACTGGACTCCGCCCAGCGCGACCCTGTACTTTGCCGTTTCGTCGACAAAAAAAAGGTCGACGAGCTGATCCAGAAAGCGATTTCTTTTTTACATCGAGTCGCAGTCGCAGACTCCAGCACTCTCTTTTGTGACTTGAGAATTCTTAATGATATTTATCAGTCACGAGAGTGATCGCAGTGTTCTCCGGTCATGCCCGAGGCCTGTTGTTTTTGACCGGAAATGCTCCCCTTCACTGTTGTCCGCAGTTTTAGACATGTCTGATCTGTTTTTTTTTTTGGTATTCACGATTTAGTTTTGTCGAAATCAAATATACCTTTAAGTAGCCAAGAGGGTGTTTCTCGTGTTCTTACATTGTCGGATGGACAGCCAAGGAGTGGTCAAAGGAGGATACGTGTTCGTTTTTTTTACAAAGTTTTTTTCATGTAAATATGCCCAGTCTCCTCGTTATTCTTCCCATGCCATCTGTGGTCCAAATTACCTTTGGGTTTTCCTGTTTTTATTTTCGTTTTATTTTAACTTTTTTTTTTTCAAACCTCTACACACTGGACCTTCTGAGGTCATATCCAGACTTTTTATGGGGGTACAGCGATGGCGACTTCGTTCGCAGCTGTGAAAACAATGCCCTGGCGATAGATCCATGCTGACAAAGCACGCGTTTCGTACGATCTTTTTCTCATTCTCGAGGCAACTTCCAGGCCTGCACCGTCTTGAATGGAAACTACAGTCCAACGTGGTGTGCCAGAGCGGGAAGAGAGTGACAAGAAGTCGGACTCGTGTTTTTATGGAACAGGGAAGCTGTACGACTTGTGCAAGGAAAGGTCGCATTAGAGAGAGCAAACGTGTCGTGGGGGAGGACAGGCACAAGTATGGGTCAAGGTTAACCTCCCCAAGATATCGCATCTGACAAGGCGAGACGAGACGAGTTCATATTTACTGCGGTGGATGGAAAGCAGAAGTCGACGGACAGAGTCGAGTGGGAAAGGGTCAATTATAAGGGGAAGACCGCTTGGCACATCAGGTATAAAGAAACCTATTACTACACGCGCGACCAGCCTAGGTCGTAGGTCGTAGAATGGGTGTGAATCTTCGTGCCTATATATCTTGCATACCGAAATCCGCGGCACCGCGACAGTTTTAGTATTTTTGTTTTATCTGAATTATTTTCCTTCTTCGTACTTCCTCATAGTGCGCTTTGGAATCGATTTTGTGCCTCATATATCATTGCGTACTCGTTGTTGTCCGTGTAGTGAAAATGTAAGACGCCTTGGCCAATGTTGTGGCACATCCATCCGTCGTTCTCATGGGCGTGCTGCTTCATGGTCGCTACAGACACAGTGATCCCATCGAACTTTGTCTCTCGTTTATATGCGTGATACTGTAGTGGCCGGTGGCAGATGGCGGCAGGATTGGCAACAACCCAGTTGTCGTCTTCTGAGATACGGCACTGGCCGAGGGCACGCATACAGCCGTTTGAATACAAAAGCAGCAGGCCACGACAAATCCCTTTGCTCGGTACGTAAAAGACCCGCACCGATACCACATTGTCAAGCGGCGCAGATGAGACGTATGGGTTGTAATGCACGACTTTGAGTGTTGTCGGCGTGGAGACAAGAGCTGGCGACCGGATGTGTCGAATGTGGCGTGTATTCCGAGCGTCTTGAACAGGGTGTGTATCGACGTCGGCCGGAGTCTTCCGTGGGCCGTCGCCGGGATACGTCCCCATGATTCTGATAGGCTCACCTTCACGTGGTTCGCCGTACACGAGAGTCACACTCTCGCCAAAGGCCAAGAGCAGGGCTTTGGCGCTGTTTCCAATTCCGTTTCCCACGGCCACGTCACCGGCCAGCTTCATGCGAGCCTGGTACATTCGAGTGTTGTTAGTTTTGGTGAATGATTCCCAGAGTTCGCCCGATTTTTACGTACAATGAGACTGAAATCCTTCGAGTCGCCCGTGTCGCTACGACATGCCCAGAGAGCAACGAGGCGGTCCTTGCGCGGTATTGGCAAGAACACCCACACCATCCGTTCGCGAACGCGGGCTACAAGGCGCCTGTAGGTTGTCGTGGCGTCGTCGTCGGCAGTCCGATGGACATGGATACCAAAAAGTTTACCGCTGAGGCAGAAGAATGTCAGACCAAAGCAACGGTCGGTCTCAACGGCGTAGAGTTGGCTGGGGACGTGACGTCGGAGCCGTGCGACGCGCTGAAACAAATCCGTATCGACCAGAGCACAGGTGTGGAGGTCAAGGGGGGCAGATGTATTCCAGATGCACAGCCGGTTGCGCCGTGAAGATAACACGAGCCGTGCGAGGCCATGCTTTTCATAATGTCAGTGCCCGTTACTGTCTGCGGCCAAGGAAAGAAACGAAAACAACCTTTTTTTCGACGTACGCGTCGACACAACGGGACACCGCGGACGTTCTTTCGACAATAAATGCCATATTCGTAGTGGTTCTCTTCTTGTACACGGGCATAGTGTGCAATTGTTCTATTTGGACAATGCCTTGTCGATCCAAGGAGATTCGGACAATCGGCGGGGACAACGGGGACGAGGAGGCCGCCGACGGCTCGACGTTGGCGTATGGCAAAGGTTGCCCGCGCGTCCACGAGACAATATGCTTCAAGGGGGTGCGGTGCAGTGCATCATCCGGCTGTCCTTTCGCGCGCGCAGCAAGGCATCGGATCGTGCGCCAGAATAAACTCCGAGCCGATCGTGTATGGATGAGGCAGATCAGCTCGAGGGGCAGACGGGCGAGCTGGGGCACTCCCGCCACGGTAGCTATGCGGCGAAAAGCAGCCAATTCAACGTCAGCGTACGACGCCGGCCCAGCATCGTCTAGCAGGACCGGGGCCGCATTCAGCCACGGTCGGCGCCATGCACCAAGTGTCCACAGCTCGTCAAGAAGGGTGGCGTTCTGCTTGCCGCCCTCCTCGAGGCCGACGATACGTGTCCCGCCTGCGTCTCCTTGGTGCTCCAAACCAGCAGTCGAAGCCAGGAAGACGTGGAAGCAGTCATAGTGCACGGCCACGACCATGGGCGCACGTTTGCAGCACGGGCATTTAGATTGCGGAATCCGGCAAGGTTGCCAGTCGTCAATCTGTGTTAGGACCATGCCGTGTTGCGGAAATGGAAATGGGCGCGTTATCTGCCCGGAATACGCAGTCGAGTCATCGTTGCCTCGCACTTTACGCGAGAATGACTGTGAGCATGGCAATCAAACGGATAAGTTATGCGCAACAAGAGAGCGGTACTCACTTGCTACGATCCTCTCATGGCGGTGTATTGAGCCACCACAGGCGCCGCACTGGGGAACAAGCGGGAGATGAGGAGTTCCCATGGCGTTAAAAGCTCGCTGGCGTTGAAACTTGTTCGGAGTCGACGGTTTGCGAGCGGTACTTTAGCTGAAGCTCGCTGGCTTTTGTCCCTTCATCCAGCCCCTGAATCCTCAGTCACGTGGAAATCACATGCTACGTCGTGTGACCCTGGGTTACAATGCGTCTCAAAAGGTGCGGCTGGCGAATCGAGGGAAACAAGTGAACTCGACTACGACTACCACCTTTAAATAACCTCGACTTGGACAACCATTATCGGGTTCGATAAAATGTAAGGCATCGACAATCCTGAATGCGCACTGCTCACGATGCTGCGTAGTGGATCCAGGTCCCCCAAAACGCCCCGGCGCGGAACCGGCGTGGCAGCAAGACGTGTGACCCTGAAGTGCCACTCATGGACGATTCTTATACGATGCAAACTGCCCATAAGGACCCTACAAAGGCGACATTAAAGGTGATCTTTAGAGTAGAGTAACGAAGCTTGATTGTTCCTGTCCCCTTTATCTCGGAATTGAGCACAGAATAATCAGTCGTTGACCGTTATACCCCAATCACTCCCTTTTGCAAACGCCCCTACTCTTTCCTCGATCACCTGGACGCACTGGAATAGTACCCTCTCAGCTCGGAAACGAGTATGGAGCCGGCTCATGATCATACGCAACTACTCTTTTTTGTCCTTTACCATATCAAACAAGTAGCCTGTTTCGGTCAAGATCGTTGCAAATGTGTCTAAGTCTAATACAATACTAGGCGAGTATGTGCTATATAAATGATATTTATAAATTATGGTGTTGTATTGTTTGACAGAAATAGTGATCTAAACCTTATGAAACATGATTATAATACCAATAACGTGTAGGCAGAGAATAACATCAGCCACGAAACCTAGTGAGATACGACCGGCCGACGTATAAATCTAAGATGACGACAATCCGGGAAAAGAAACAAATAGTTCAACAACATAAAAGGGCCGCCTTTTAGTAAAACAGGAGAGTCAAATAAGTCTGGTACCCGGAGACAGCCGACATGGGCGAATTAGTACCATCGTCAAGACCCTGGGTCTGCTACGGTCCCAGGACGACTTGGGCGTCGTTCGCGACATCATCCCGAGGCTGTCGGTGCGGGCACTTGAAGACTTTTGGGCATCGACGAGCCCGGTGCCTCTTGTGAAGCCTGAGCAGGTGACGGAGATTCTGGAGGCCGTAGCAGGGTAGATCCATACTTTGAATCGCACGTCGTATTTTGATTGGCTGTATTCCCGTGTTCTTGTCTGCTAAGATATGCAAGTGCCGAGACAGTCCTGGCTCGGGAAATAATAGATTGCGGCGATATGAACGGCTGAACGGACCATCCCATTGTCGGCAGAATAGATATTCGAGAGCGGCATTCTCCTTCCACCAATCCGTGGACGCGCACCAGCCAACTAAGCAAAGTACATGTAAGACAAACAAGAGAGGTAAAACAAGCCTGCAAAAACGCAGTCGTCGTCAGATAAGACATGGAGCAAGAGGATATATATGTGTAAGTCAGACACAGCGCGCGTGTGATAGCTGCATTACCAGGTTTTCTCGCGACCGTCTGTTTTTCACAGCCCACATATCCCTCCACCCCAAAATGCAGTGGAAGGCCCTCGTCTTTGCTCGCCTGGTGCAGCATGCCGCCGCCCAGGGCACCATGCCCATGCTGCGCTTCCAGTGCTCGCAGCTCGTCGTCGACCGCATCGATCCGCTGGTCAACCCCGGGCTGGTGCCGTCGCCGCACGTGCACCAGGTCGTCGGCGGCAACTCGTTCAACGCCACCATGGACCCGTCGACGCACGACCTGCCGACCCTCTCGACCTGCACGACCTGCACCTTTTCGGACGACTTTTCCAACTACTGGACGGCTGTCTTGTACTTTAAGGCGCGGAACGGCACCTACACGCGCGTGCCCCAGATCCCCAACCCGGGCTTGCAGGGCAACGGCGGCGTGACGGTCTACTACATCCCGTCGGCCGACAAGGGCACGCCCGTGACCGCCTTCAAGCCGGGGTTCCGCATGCTCGTGGGCGATGCCGGCGCCCGCACGGCGGAGCCGGCGCACAAAGTGTGCCACCGCTGCATGCCCGTCTCGGGCGACAACCGCAACCTGAACTGCGCCGCGCCCGACGCCCAGACGCTGCCGACCACGTTCTGCGCCGGCGGCATCCGGTCCGTCATCACGTTCCCGACCTGCTGGGACGGCAAGAACATCGACTCCGCCGACCACAAGGCGCACGTCGCCTACCCCAGCAGCGGCACCAGCGGCCCCAACGACGTCGGCAGCAACGGCGTCTGCCCGGCGTCGCACCCCGTCCGGATCCCGCAGGTCATGCTCGAGACCATCTGGGACACGCGCGCGTTCAACACAGAGGAGCTGTGGCCCGAAGACGCTGCGCAGCAGCCGTTTGTCTGGAGCACCAACGACGCCCGCGGCTTCACGCAGCACGGCGACTACGTCTTTGGCTGGAAGGGCGACTCGCTGCAGCGGGCCATGGACGCGCGCTGCACCGGCGACACCTGCAGCGCGCTCGCCGTGCAGACGACGGAGCAGGCCACCAAGTGCTCGGTCCAGCAGGTCGTCAAGGAGAATGTGAATGGATGTATGTGGATCTCCTACCCCCTGTGACTTTTCTTTTCTTTCTTTCTTTTTTTTTTTTTTTTTGAGAAACGACCGCTAACTGTCCAGGGCTGTCACATCTTCCCGGTATGCAGCCGGATGCAAATGGGGCGGCACAGACGTGAACCATCGGTGTAAGGAGATGCATGCTCTCGACGGTGTCAAGGGGGCAATGATAGAGCATCTCCGACAAGGAATGTCATGATTTTGTACGACGTCCGTTGTTTTTTGTAGCACACGGGATTGGTGAGACGAGACAGCAGAATCCACAACCTCTTGTGATTGGCTTGCGGCTGAGAAAGGGTTGCATTGCAGCCACGATTAGGCATCCCCATCGTCGAGACGGGAAGACAAACGCGCAGACCACGTCGTAGTATGCGTCACAACATCTGACCCTTGTCGGGGTATGTAGACTGCAAGTACTCCACCGTCGTGATGAACACCGTTGCTCAACATGGCAGCACCACGACGTTGTAATGCAGACATCCTGCAGGCGCTGTACAAACCCCTGCGGGAGCACCAGACCGACAATGAGGTGCGCGAGATTCGCCTCCTCTACATCGATGACCCTCTGTCGTCCGACGGCCCAGAGGACGAGAACGACAGCCAGCCCATGGCGTGCCGGCTGCAGACGTGCACCGTCGCCGACGCGCAGCGCAGCCAGTTCTACGCGCTCTCCTACGCCTGGGGCGACCCGCAGGACACGCTGCCCATGCTCGTCAATGGGCTTGTCGTCCCGGCCACTCGCAACCTCGTCTTGGCCCTGCAGCACGTGCCCGTGGTCGAGCCGCGCTGCCGCCGCCAGGGCCTCTGGGTCGACGCCCTCTGCATCAACCAGGCCGACAACCACGAAAAGAGCGCGCAGGTGCTCATGATGAAGGACATTTTCAGCGGCGCGCACGAGACGCTGGTGTGGCTGGGGCCGGGCGATGTGCAGAGCCGGGCGGCGCTGCAGCTGGTGCGCCGCATCTGGGCGGACAAGGTCGCGATGGGCGGCGGGGGCGAGGGCGGTGGCGCTGGCGGTGGCAACGACGACATCGACAACGAGAGACTGCCCCAGCCGGAGGCGCTGGCGGTGCCCGACGTGCTGACGTTGGTGGACCGGCTCGGCGGCGCGTCGCTGTTTACGACCGACGTCTTTGCGCAGCGGCCCTACTGGTTTCGCGTCTGGACGCTGCAGGAACTGATCCTCGGACGGCGCTGTCGACTCATTGCCGGCCACGACGCGTGCGACCGCGACTGGGTGCTCCACGCGTCCGTGGCGGCGTTTGTCGACGGGCCTCGGCCGGTGGAGGCCAAGGACGACAAGGACAAGGAAACGGCCGCAGCACGCATTTCCACAAGCAAGTGGTGGCCTTTCGCTTCACCCGGAACCGCGTCGACGGCCCCAGCAGTGGCAGTACCGTCAACACCATCAACGCCCCCCTGCGGGCCATGGCATGTCTGCGCGCTTGCATGCAGCGCGCATCGTATGACCCGCGCGACGCCATCTTTGGCCTCTGCGGCATCGCGTACTTTGGCGTCGCCGTCGACTACGACCTGTCGGCGCACCAGCTGTTTTGCCGCGTCGCCGCGTGGCTGGCCCGGCCGCTCGGCGCCACTGACGGCGGCAGTCGGCTGCACCTGCTGCTGGGCTCCGCCGGCCTCGCCAGTCGACGCTCCACCTGCGGGCTGCCGAGCTGGGTGCCCGACTGGAGCGTGTGGCCCGTCCAGCGCATCATATACACGTCCAAGCGCATGCCCGTCGTCCCCGCGGCGTATGTACCAAGCGTGGCGGGTGACGGCACCTTTGCCCTGCGTCTCCACGGCGTGCGTCTTGGCCGTCTTGCGTCGGCAATGCCACTCGGCGTCTTCCCCGGTGTCGTCACCTCGCAGGCAATCGAGAGCGGGACCACAGCCAACGTATCGAGCAGGCTGGCTCATCTGGCCTGCGCTGCCGAGTTCCTCTCCGGAATGAGCGCCGACGCGATCGTCGACAAGCTCGTGGCACCGACATCGACGCCGACCGCAGCAAGTACGCCGCTGGCCGGCGAGTCGTTTGTCGTATCCCTCGTGGAGCTTCTGGCAAATCCCTACCGCCGACCTCGGTATCCGTACGCCGCAGTCGATGTCGTGTCCTTGCTCCACTGTCTTGTCGAGTCCGGGCGCGTATCACTGCCTGCGTCGAGTGCTGCGGAGGATACACAGAACCGCCCCGATGACAGAACCCTGTCCGCCGTTCTCGACGGCAACCGCACCGATGCCCTGGACCGAGACACCTTGCTCCGTGAGGCTGCCTACCAGTTCCAGCAGCCCACGTTTGAGAGCCGGTTCTTTGGCGTCGAAGACATTGACCGTCACGCGTATGTATACTTCCGCACCGACAACGGCCTTCCAGGCTACGCAGCCGTCGGGGTGCAGCCGGGCGACGTTGTCTACTTGGTCGCTGGATGCCAGGACGTGGTGGTTGTGAGGCCGGTCGGCAACCGAGTCCGCTTTCTCTCGCTGGCCAACATAGTGGGTTTTGCTGGCCATTACGACGTCAACTGGGACACTCTGGCCCGCAAGATAGAGGCTGTTGATATTTCATAAACGTCGACTGCGGCGCAATGCTCTCATCTCGTCTCTTCTTGTAGTGCTTCCGACTGCACATACCTGTCGGTGAAATCTGTGGCTGTGCTCGTGGAGAAAGAAAGGTATGAAAATGAAATTGCTATGACATGACATACTTTTATTCATATTGCTATCTTCTACAATCGTCTCATTCCACACTACGTGACCCGCTTACCCCAACAGCTTGGCCTGCCGCTCCAAGAATAAAATCCGGGGCCGGTCCGACTCAAACGCCAAGACCTTGTGGGCCATGTTGATCTCAATGTCCATGGGCCCCGGGCGCAGCGTGCCGTGGCTGTCCGCGTCGACGACGTGCTCGTACCATGCGTGCAGCCCGTAGGCACGGCACAGCACCTGCGCCATCATGACCTCGACCGAGCACCAGGCGCGGTCGTAATAGTCGGCGCTGGTCAGGCTGATGACGGCGTTGCACTGGGCGACCAGCATGGGCAGAGCGGCGATGCCGGGCGCGGGGTTGGTCTGGTCGACGCAAGCGTGGTCAATCCAAAGGCCGAGCCGGTCTGCCGTGACGTCGGCGTGCCGCTGCAAAAAGGCCTCGACCGCCGCGCAGATGCGCCGGTACTGGGTGTGGGCGGCGTCGTCGGGCGCCGTGGCGTCGCGTGTGACGTTGATCCAGCGGTACGAGATGAAGACGACGTAGTCGACGGCATCCACGCTGTCGGGGCTGTCCTCGACCGTCCCGCCGTCCACGGGGGCCGCAACACGTCGGGCGAGGTTGTCGGCGCCGCCGGGCAGGTGGCCGGCCACGGCAAACGCACGGTAGGGCACGCACTTGAAGTCGTCAAAAACGCCGCGGTAGCCGGGCGACGCTGGTGAGGCATCGAGCGCGTTGGCGTAGACGCTGCGCAGTCGTGTCAGGGTGTCCACCGCGGGCGCTCCCTTGTCCTTGGTGCTCAAGAGCACCGGCCGCATCACGTCCTGGAAGAGCTCGCGGTAGCCCTTGCGCAGGCGGGCCTCGGTGCGGCGCTCTGCCAGGGCGCTGTCGGCGCGCGCGTGCAGCTGGCGATGGAGGGCCTCGACGACGAGCGCTTCGGTCGCCCCGTCGCCGTTGAACACGCAGTAGTCGAGCGCCGTGTACCCGTTCTCGTCGACGGCGTCGAGGCCCGCGTCGAGGCCGGCGCACTCCGCGTGCGACGCCGAAAAGGCAATCAGCTCGGCGAGGTACGACCGGTGCTCGGCCGACGGCTCCTTGCACAGCGCAATGGCGGGCGTGCAGCGGCCCGCAGGCAGCCATGCGCCGGACAGATACTTGGCCGCGCGCACGCGGTCGGCGTGGGTCGTCTGCTCGGTCTGGTCTGCGGCCAGGGCGCGGCCCAGGAACAGGCTCGAAAACGCCACCACCGTCGGGTCGGGCGAGTCGGCAGTCAGCGCAAAGGCGGCCTCGGCGCTCTCCACACCACGCCGCGTGTCGCCCGGCCGCCCCGTGGCGGCGTAGCACAGCGCCAGTCGCTGCAGACCTATGGCCTCCCACAGCGCCGCGTGCGGGTCGTTGCCGAGGCGGCGCGCCCGTGCGACGCGCTCCTGCAGCTGCTCGATTGCCGTGGCCAGGCGGTCCTGGTTGGGGTCCTCGCTGCGTGTCTCGATCTGGCCGGCCTGGCGTGGATCCTCCTGTGACAGCTGATAGTTGACCATGCCGAGGTTGCCAATGGCGCGACACGCGGCCGCGTCGGCGCCCAGAGCTAGGGCCGTCGTGTACTGGATCTGCAGCACGTGCTCAGCATCGCGCAGGCGCCCCATGTGGCGGTAGACCACACCGAGCTCGCCGCTGACCTCGAGCCGTTGTGGTCCCGTTGCGTGTCCATCCTCGGCTTCGCCCCGCGCCATCTCGGCCAATGCTGCCTCCAAGAAGCCCGCAGCCACGTCATAGCGACCAAAGCGGCGGTTGGTGCTGCCCATCTCGCCGTGCACAGTACATCGATAGTGTGCTGCATTGGGGAACAATGTGTCGTCGGCGCTTTTGCCGGCTCCGTCGTCCGCCTCTGATGTCAGCGCCAGCGCCTTGTCCAGCTCGTGCAGGGCGGGCTCCCAGTCTGCGCGCCGCGCATGCGCCCGCGCACGGCTCATGTGCGCCTCCCACTGTCGCACACGCTCGACTGCGCTGGCCAGCGCTGCCGCCGTCACGCCCGCGGGATCCCGGACCTGCGTGTGTCCGTCGCCGTCGACGGGGCCCAGCACGTCGGCGTCGCGGACAAAGCCGCGGCTGGCATCAAAGAAGAACAGCGTCGCGTGGAGGGCACCGGGGGCCGCCTCGGTCCAGTGGTACGCGGCGGCGGGGATGGTGTAGGTGCTGCCCGGCCCGCGGCGGACGGGTGCCAGGGGCGTCGCGCGCACATAGAGACCGCGGTTGCGCACGGTCGACGCGGTCTGGTGCGTCTTGTAGACCGTGCCGGTGTCGGTGTCGTTGCCATTGTCCTTGCCGTCCACAGGGCCCGTCCAGGACAGCGCATAGCGCGCATGCGTGGCGTCTCCAGCGGTGTCGACGGGCTCGGCGGCGTAGGGGTGGTCGGTGCCTTCGCCGGCGAGGATCCAGCTCTGAGCAAACGGCTGGTGCGAGTGTACGGTAAAAGCACCCACCTCGCCGTTCTTCGCGGCATCCGCCGGGGATTGCTTGCCGGGCAGCCACACATGTAGGCGGATCAGTTCGTCAATGTCGCCGTCCTTGACGATGCTGTACAGTGGTACGTGTAGAAATCCCTGTGAACTGCGCATGGCAGCACCCAGCGGCCGAGTCGTACCAGTCGCGGATGCTGCGGTGTTCGTCGTGTCCTGGATGCCCGTGAGGGCGTCGCGTACGATGGCCCAGATCTGTCCCAGAGTCTCGGGGGCCACGGGCACGTTGCGCCGGGATGCATTGCGGAGATGGCCGATGGCGACCGTGAGACGGACCAGGTGCCGTGCATATGTGGTCGCGCCCACCTGGCGAGTTTTGTCACCGATGCTGTCACCACCGTCCGCAGGAAATGCTCCATCGGCCAGGGTAAGCCAATCTAGCCACGACCGATTAGTGCGCTCGCTGCCAACTGACGCAATCCACGTCTCCACGCCCGACACGGTGCCCTGGTCTGCACATTTGGTGGCCACGACGACGCCTCCGAGGAGCCGCAGCAGGGTTGTGGATGAAATGTCAGTCCCCGCATCCTGCCCCAAATTTAGCCCCTCGCTAGCAGCTGCTAAAGTAGCCCCCAATCTGTCGCTCATGACGTTTACTGTTTTGTTGTTCAACGCTGGATGCTGAATGCTGCGAACTGCTTCGTTGGCAATGGCTGCAAATACTAGAAAGAACACAACTGCGCTCCCGTGCCCCGCAGCCAGGCAGAAGCAGCAAAAGCCAATCACGCTGGGGCTTTTGCGCCACCAAGCTGCACGACCCCGTGTGCCTGGTTGCCTAACCACACCTGCACAATTGCCTGGGCGCGCTTTGCGCAGTATGTCTATGCAAGAATTGTGACAGCTGTACGGCAAACTCTGTACGTTTTGTCGGGTCTTTGTTAATGCATTCCCTAACTCGCCTTCTCTTTTCGTCAAGAGCGCTCGTCTCGGCAAACTCGCAGAGCCACGACAGCACATTGCATTACACCCGACTCAATGCTCATCGACGGGATCGTGCAGCGACAAGTTTTGTAGCAGTCGCCGGGTCATCTGACTCCGGGAGATGTCGTGGGAGGTGCAGTGGAGGTCCAGAAGGTGCAGCAGCCTCCTGTAGGCCTTTCTCCCCTGCCGTCAACATTCATGTTCTGAGATGCCATGCTCCGCTGTTGCAAGTCGTCCACAACCAATGCAGCCACACCCTGTGCAAGGCTGAGAAAACAAAAAGGGTCGCACAGATCTGGTTCAACCGAAAAGTAAGAATCTAGTCAAACCTGGGGCATAGCCGACACAAGCGCACCTCCAAGGCGTAGGCCGATGAAGCGGAAAGTAAGACGGACGAATTGTCAGGTACCAAAAGACAAAAAGTCCCCGAAACGGACGCTTCGGCACTAGTGCCCGCCACCGGCCCACTTTTTACCCGCGAAGACAACGACGTCAGTTCGGACAACAATACAAAAGGCCGAATCAATTCGAAATGATAGTCCGTGGCCTGCGGTCGTTCCGTCGTCGTTGGCATAGCTCACGGGCATGAGGCGGACGGGCTTGGTGGACCGCCGGCTGCCAAGGTGGCTCGTTGGTTGCATTTGTATGCGATGGCTGCTGATCCTACTGATCCTGACTGGCAAGTCTCCACGTCTCACTCTTTTGGGTGTTTGGTTATCGCATCTTCCTGCAACAGACCTTTGTCTGTTCTCTTTTTCCGAGGAGTACTGGCGACGTTGAGGTGGGCGGGGGTTTCTCCCGCGGCGGCGCTGGACACGGGAATAACGCGCACGTGACGATTGACGATTGTGAGATTGTTGTATTTAATCAATTTTCATCGGCCCTTTCGTTGTCTCGGAACTGGTCCCTGTTATCAGCTTCTTGTTTCGACCAAGCGACCGACGCGCAACGCATCCAGAAAGTCGTCTGACACAATTGCATCCTGCCCAGGCGTGCTCACACCAAATGTAAACGGCACGAATAAGCGGTGATCGACACACCCCTTCGACAGACAGTCCAACATGACAAGCGACCAACAGTTTGCAAATGTCCAATTCAGCTGCCAATCTGGGCATGGCGCAGCGAGAAAGAAGTGCGAGAGGCTTGATGTTTGGTCGCATTTGTCTCCATCCGTGTGATTGACCCGTGTGATTGTGAGACAGGTGAGAACAGGGTATCGGAGAGCATGTGCATGCGGTGCGGCCAAGTCGACGCCGACTTGCAGCGCGTCAGCAAGCTTCGGGAAGGTGGTTGCGATAACACATGCCTTGATTCCTTGATCGGGCGACGGCGATGCAGCTCCCATACAGCCCAATAAAAGGGTAAACGAAAATGTCGCACGTGCCCATGCCGGTGTCTGTCGTGTTTTATCCAACAGGTGCTCTAATCAGCCTGAGATCACCACGCCTTGCCGCCCCACCCGACGTCCCGCGGACGTTGCCTCGCTCGATGATATGCATCGTACATTCGTACAAAATCGCGTTCCGTCTTGTCCCCTCCTGCCAGATGTGGTTGGAGGTATTTTGTCCAGAGATAGCGGGGGGGCGACGCATTTGACGGCCGAATCAGGAAAGTCGTCGTCCATCCACCATGAACGACATGTTCGAGTACACGTATTTTTGCTGCGACTCCCCATCCTGCATGGATAATCTGCACAGTGTTTCATTTCCAAATCCTACAAAGCGACATCAGCGTGGGTTGCGTGTTGCTGGGCCTTTTGGGCTGCGATACGGGTGGCGTCCGGGACCGTCAGCAGCCGAACCAGACAAGCTTTCCAAGCCCTCCAAGCTTTCCAAGATTCCACAATGGCGCTGTTGTCGACTTGGCCAGCGCGATACGCGTGATAACTGAACCAGTGTGGGCATTGTATCCCCTGCTTGCACATGTTGTACATGTCGCAAATGGGTACAAGATGGCGCGGTTTGCCTCAATCTGGAAGGTGGATTGTTGCTTGGTGGTGGGACTTGGCCACGCTCCACCAATGAGGCGCACGATAAGGCAGTGTCGTTTTCAGTGTGTTGATACCAGAGTGCCACAGCGATGTCGAGAGGCGACGACGAAATCCCGTAAGCGAGCCATGCAGCTCCTCTGGCCGCGGGTCCTTGTATCAGAGAAAATGATGCGATTGCAATTGGTGTGATTCTGCTATATTGCAATCTATGCACCAAGCAACCGCCAGAAGCCGCCGCCGTCCATGCGGCGCCCACGTTGAGGCCCATGGCGAGGACCTTGTCGAGATCATGCCTATATAGCAACGGGCTCGTCCCGCCGAGCAGGTTATTGCATTCCTCTTTCGTTTTTCCGCAAGCACCGTCTGTGCTCTGTGCTTTCCATGGTTCTCTGGCTTTCCATGGTTCTCTGAACATCCCCAGTACCCCTTCCCCGGCTTTTTATCCACTCCCTTGTCGCTGATCATGGAACCGCTGGAGCCCTTGGCGCCCGTGGGCTCGCCCGCGTCGGGCGACGTGCCGCCCGTCGACGTCGACGCCAAGAAGAAGGACGACGGCGTCGTCGTGACGTCGCGTGCCATTGACGAGAAGGTGCATGACCTCGTCGACAAGCTCGGCGACACCGCGGCCGGCCTGGCGCCCGCCGACGACATTGCCTTTGTCATGGACAAGATCGACACGCTGTCGGTCGACGAGGCCCGGGCGATCCTCGAGAAGCTGCTGGTCGACCACGAGTACGACTACAACTTTTCGCAGCTGCAGCGCGACAAGATCCGCGCGCTGCTCAAGGGGCCCGCCTCCAGCGACAGCGACGTCGCGAGCAAGGAAGGCGAGGGCGCCGGCACCGGCACCGACACCGACGACTGGGAGCTGCGCCTCAAGACCGAGGCGGCCATCAACAAGTTCTACTCGCCGTACCCCGAGGTGCGCGCCGTGTCGGCGCCGACGGACGACCCGTCCATCCCCTGCGAGACGATCCGCGCCCACCTGCTCGGCTACGTCTGGGCGGCCCTCGCGCAGTTCACCAACTCGCTCTTCAACTCGCGCTTCCCGACCATCTCGCTGACGTCCGCCGTCGCGCAGATCCTGCTGTACCCCTGCGGCCTGCTGCTGGCCTGGGTGCTGCCGGACTGGGGCTTCACCTTCCGCGGCCAGCGCGTGTCCCTCAACCCAGGCCCCTGGACGTACAAGGAGCAGATGCTGGCCACCATCATCGTCGACGTCGGCCTCACGTCCGCCTACTGCTTCTGGAACATCCAGACGCAGACCGTCTACTACGGCGACAAGTGGCTGACGCCCGGCTACGGCATCCTGCTGCTGCTGTCGACGCAGCTCATGGGCCTCGGCTTCTCCGGCCTCATGCGCCGCTTCGTCGTCTACCCCGTCGAGGCCCTGTGGCCCAACATCCTGCCCACGCTGGCCCTCAACCGCGCGCTGCTGCTGCCCGAGACCGACGAGGTCGTGCACGGCTGGCGCATCTCGCGCTACCGCTTCTTCTTCGTCGTCTTCAGCGCCATGTTTGTCTACTTCTGGGTGCCGGGCTACCTGTTCCCCGCGCTCAGCTACTTTGCCTGGATGACGTGGATCAAGCCCGACAACTTCAACCTCAACATGATCACGGGCTCCTCGTACGGCCTGGGCTTCAACCCCATCCCGACGTTTGACTGGAACGTGCTCGGCACCTACTACCTGCCGCTGGCCTACCCCTTTTTCGTGTATGCCCAGCAGTACGCCGGCAACCTGCTGGGCGGCCTCATCATCGTCGCGCTCTACTACTCCAACACCAAGTGGTCCGCCTACCTGCCGCCCAACACGTCGGGCATCTTTGACAACACGGGCAGCTCGTACAACATCTCGCGCGTCGTGGAGCAGGGCACGGGCGCCTTCAACGAGACGGCCTACCTCGAGTACTCGCCGGCCTTTTACGGCGCCGGCAACCTCACGCTCTATGGCGCCTTCTTCGCCTTCTACCCGCTGACCATGGTCTTCATCCTGCTGGACTCGTGGCGCCCGCTGCTCCGGGCCTACAAGTCCAGCCTCCGGGCCGGCCTCGACTTTGTGCGCCAGATTTTCGTCGGCACCAAGAACGCCGTCGTGGCGCTGGCCAAGGGTGACGTGCGCGGCGCCGGCCGCCACCTGGCGTCCATTGTCCGCTCCGACGTCTCCATCTACGACGAGTTTGACGACCCCTTCACGCAGCTGCTGCGCGCGTACCCGGAGGTGCCCGACTGGTGGTTCACCGTCATTTTTTTGGTGTCCTTTGTCTTTGCCGTCGTGATCCTGGCGCACTGGGAGCAGCTCAACACGCCCGTCTGGACCATCTTCTTTGTCATTGGCCTCAACCTCGTCTTTCTGATTCCCATGAGCTACCTGTACGCCATCTCGGGCAACACCGAGGGCCTCAACGTCGTCACGGAGCTCATCATCGGCTACGCGCTGCCGGGCCACCCCGAGGCGCTCATGTTCGTCAAGGCCTTTGGCTACAACATCAACGGCCAGGCGGACAACTACATTTCCGACCAAAAGATGGGCTTCTACGCCAAGGTCCCGCCCCGCGCCATGTACCGCGGCCAGATCATCAGCTCCGTCATCACCGCCCTCATTGCCTACGGCGTCGTGCAGTTTGCCGACAACGACATCCCCGGCATCTGCACCCACGACCAGGTCTCCCACTTCAACTGCGAGAACGGCTCCGGCGTGTACTTTTCCTCGTCTGTTATTTGGGTATGGTGCAACCTCCTAGAACGATCTAGGCATGGCGTCGTCCGTGTTATCATGTTCTCTGCTAACGTTGTTTTCCCTCCAGGGTGCCATTGGTCCCCAACGCATCTTCAGCCAGATCTACCCTGCGCTCAAGTACTGCTTCCTGCTCGGCTTCCTCCTTGCCCTTGTCTGGTGGGCGGTCAAGTACTACGGCGCCAAGGCCCGCTCGGTGGCCCGCCGCGTGCTGCCCGCCGCCGTCTACAAGCCGCTCGACCTTGCCGTCTTCACCCCCGTCTCCTGGCTCAAGCACGTCCACCCGTCCCTCGTGTTCAACGGCTTCCTCTACTGGGCGCCCCTCAACCTGTCCTACTTCACCGGCGGCCTCTACATTTCGTTTGCCTTTATGTACTACCTCCGCCGCAACAAGACCGCCTGGTGGGAGAAGTACAACTACGTCCTGTCGGCCGCGCTCACCGGCGGCGTCGCCTTTTCCGGCATCATCATGTTCTTCGCCGTCCAGTACCACCCCAAGTCCATCAGCTGGTGGGGCACCGACATCGTGGGCGCGACCATTGACGGCGGCGCCGGCCAAATTGCGCTGTACCCGAACCTGCCAGAGAAGGGCTACTTTGGCCCGGACACGTGGTCGTAAGCGGCGGCATGCGTGGCGGACGTGAAACAGAGGTACTCTCCTTGGAGCGTACTGCCGTGGGATGTCGAGTCTCTACAAGTAGTCGATTAGTAGATGCATCAGAGAGTAGATGCATCGGAACATTCATTTCACATATACCAAGGAGCCACAGGCAAGAAGTCACATACGCGAAGTCTGGAGGGATGAATGACGTTTCGATTTTAATTATACGAAGAACGTAAGTTGTGTACGGGCGTCCCTTGTTTATATCTACGATCGTTAGTGACAGGGGACAGGATCCCACTGTTTTATTCGGACGCTGATTTGAGTGTCTTATGAGTATTTATGTAATGTATTTATTTTTATAATTTTATGGTCTTGATCACGTTTCAAAAAAAATGTTTTCTCATAATATTGTTATAAATATGTAATAGAAAACAAAGGTTGACAAAAATCATTTGCACGTTGTTTTAATTTTCTTTTCCAAGAAATGATATCGAAGCGAAAACGACTCTTTGTCAGAAAATGTACGTTGATCAAATACTAGACGGGACAGGAAGCGAATCAGTAACGAATCAGTGATTCGTCTGCACTGCACTGTCTAGGTGAATCTAAGCCTTGTTGCTAGCGTAATACGTCAACGGCACGTGATAAGTAACCACTCGGACTTCACATTTACAAGGATCTGACGGGGGATAAGCAGCAACTACAAAGGATATGCCTGTCCCAAGCACGGAACGAAGTGAACTCGTTGCTACTCAAGGCCGATGTCATGACTGTGCTTATTGTGAATGGAGTTACATGACTTGACATTGACGTTGTGAATGTATCTCGCTGTCTGCCGCGGTTGGGACCAAAGTGTCGACACACAATGCCATGAACTATTGAAAGACTTGAGCTCCAGGCTACCTTCTTACCGCCATGCACGGCCCTCATATTTACATGTCGACCTCCGCCTACCCTGTCTGATTGACTGCTTGTCAGGTGGCCAGCCTGCCTGCCCGCCATCTAGCCCTGGCTGACGGTAATGTCGGCGCTGCCGCTGCTCTGGTAGCCCTCGGTGGCAATGATCTGGTAGTCGTGCGAGCCCAGCTGGAGGCCAGCCTTGGCCCAGGCGTCAAAGTGGTTCTTGACCGTGACGGAGCCGCCGACGCGCCGGGACTGGCGCACCGACCAGTACTGGTCGAAGGTGGCGGTGCCGGAAATGGACGGCTGGTTGACGCGCTTGTTGAGGTAGATGTCGTAGGTGCCGCCGTCGCTCGTGACGGTGCCCTTCTTGGTGCCGCCCGTCGACGGGTTGTACGTGCCGTACGACTCGACAATGTAGTACTCGACCAGCGGGCTCTTGGTCCAGCCGTAGAGGCTGAGGTACGAGTTGACGTTGCGGCCGTTCCACGTGCCCGTGTAGTTGACCGTGCGCGGGCTGCCGGGGTTCCAGCCCTTGCCGGCCACAAAGTTGTTGACGTTGCTCCACTGCACGCTGTACTCGCCGGCCGGCCCGTTGTTGTACGTCACGCTGCCCTGGCCGTCCGTCCAGAAGGAGTAGAAGAAGCCGTTGTTGGTGCCGGTGCCCGTCGGGGTGCTGCGCTCCTCGACCGTGCGCGAGCCCACGAGGCCAGAGCCGGGCAGCGGCAGCGCCGGGCCGGCCACGGGCATCGGGTTGGCGGTCGCGACGGCCGCCAGGCCCAGGACAAGTGCAGAGAAGATGCCCATGATGGGATGGAGAGCAGAAGACAAGTGTGAATGGAAAGGGAAAGTACGTGGACGCGAGACACAAGAGGGAAGCGGGAGATGGTGCTGAGGTGTGCAGATGAGGACCGACGAGACAAAACAAACACCTCGGTCGGTCGTCAGTGGCCTTTATACATGTCCAGCGCAGGACAGAAACTCAAGGCCGTCGACGAGCTAGGCGACGGTCCCGGAATCTCCATCTGCGTGGTGGTCGGCTAGGCCCAATTCAATCTGCGATGCTTGGCTCGTCTGTCCCCGTCTCCATAGGATGGGCGTGGTAAGTCGATTTAACATTTATCCTGTTTATCCTTTGGGGGGACGGCGTGCGTGTGTCACGATCCAATATGGCTGCTGCTACGCCAATATATATAGCACCTGTGGCGTGCTTTGTTATCGCCATGATCAGCAATGTATCAGCAATTGGGTGCTGTGAAGGATGGTGGCTGTATTGGGAAGCATCGTTTCGTCAGCATATCTGCGGCATTTTCTTCGGCAGTTTTGCTGTATATGTTGCAAATTATAATCATGGGGATGCCCAGATGCTACGATGCCAAGATGCCCCGATGCCCTGAACCCCAGAGCCCCATAAACAAGCAACACCCCAGAGTTCCCCCAGAGTTCGGAAGTCGACAGCGCGTGGCTTGCAAAATCGCCTGTTGGACGCGAGGACGCCATCGATCGATCGTCGGTACTAGCTCTTGGGTTGCTCGACGTTTGTCCCTTTTGCCGCCTTGGCATGTGATTGTCGCCATTCCAGAAGGGCGGAGATCGACAGGCAGACAGGGTACGGAGAAGACATAATGCTCCGCACACAATGGTGTCTATTTCCGTCGCCTTTGCCGTCATATCGAAACGGGCTTGGCCAGATGCGTGCCGCCTTGGGTCCATCTCCGTTTCCTGGGCATTGGAAATAACCTTCTTGGCGGCTCTGCACAACAACAACAACACTCACCGGCTAAAGCCACCATGTGTTTACATTTATCCGGCGATGCGAACAGGGTCGACGACGATCTACCAGTGTACCAGTGTACCAGTGTACCAGTGTACCAGTGTACCAGTGTACCAGTGAACCAACCAAGAATCATGGGATGAGAGGCTACATCGCGTCCTGTGTCCCGCACATCGCAATAATTCATTCCAATGTACATCCGAGGTCTCATATTCCATATGTATTTAATATCAAATTGTCGTGCCTCGTACCATGGCTACCTCCCATGCACTACCTCTCCACCCATTGCAGCTCCGCTTCGTCGGGCCGGTTCATCTGCAGCGTCAGCCGCGGCTGGCTGTCCTCGGTCAGCGCGAGCAGCCGCGCGCGGGCGTCGGCGGGCGTCTCGCCGTCGGCCGTGCGCACCACGGGCCGCACAGAGCAGCGCCACAGCAGCGTGGCCATGACGGCGACAAACTCGACCTGGGACATTTTCTGGCCGGGGCAGACGCGGGGGCCGCCGGACCAGGGGGAGAAGGTGCCGCGCGGCGGTGTCCTGACGGATTCGCGGCCGGTCGCCGCGTCGACGGCAATCCAGCGCGCGGGGCGGAACGCGTCGGCGTCGGCGCCCCAGGTGGCCGGCGCGGTGTGGAGAGCCATGTTGTTGACAAACACGTTGTAGCGGCCGGCGAGGTGGTGGGTGGTGTGGTGGACGGTGACGGTGGCGGACGATGCGCTGGTGCCGTCGTCGGACCGGAGGCCGCGGGACACGTGCAGGACGGCCGGGTACAGACGCAGCGTCTCCAGCATAAAGGCGAGGCAGCGGGCCAGCTGCGGGTAGACGGTCGCGTAGTCGAGGGCGGCGAGGCGATCGGTGCGCTTGCTGGCTGGCAAGCCCGTGGGCGGCCCGCCAAAGACACGGTCCAGCTCCTCCTGCAGCCATGCCTGTGTCTCGGGATAGATGGCCAGCAGCACGGCGGCGTAGGACATGGTGTTGGCCGTGGTATCGAAGCCGGCGCCCGTGACCAGGAACAGGTTGCCGGCAATCTCGTCTTCCGTGAGGCCGAGCGCGCCGTGGGGGTCGGCGGGCGCTGCCGTCTTGTTCAGGGGGCCAGCTGCTGCCTTGTTCAGGGCCTGGTCGGACAGCCGCACGAGCAGGCCCATGATCGTCTCACGCGGCCCGCTGTCCGTGTCGACCTTGCGCTCCTTTTGCCGCTGCCGCTCCTGGTCGAGCATGTCGTCCGTGAGGGCGGGCAGTCTGCGCATGGCCGCGGCCAGCGTCTGCACGACCTTGGGCATAAAGGGCAGCGCCAGCAGTCTGTTCGGGAAGAGGGCGGCCGCGGCCAGCAGCTCCGCCACGAGGCCGATGGCGTCAATGTACGCCATGGGCGCCTCGGGGTCCCGCGGCAGCTCCATCGGCCGGAACGGTTTTGGCTGGCCGTAGCCCACCTGGCCGAGCACGTTGATGGCAATCGCGCGCAGGCTCGCCACCGTCTGCGACGTCTTGGGCGTCTTGGATGTCTTGGACGCCCCGCCGTCCTCGGGCGGCGTCAGCATAAAGTCCCCCATCTGGTTCGCCTGCGCCATGCTCTCCTTCCACACGACGGCGCTGATGCGCTCGTTGAGGTTGGGCGCAATCAGCCGCCGCTGCCGCGCCCACGTCTCGCCGTCCGACGCAATCATATTGTTGCCCAGCAGGCTCATGATGAGCTTCGCCTCGGGCAGCATCACAAAGTCCTTGCGGCGCGCCAGCAGAATCTGCGCGAGCGCCGGGTCGGCACACCACAGCTCGTTGACGCCCGTCGTCACCAGCACGAAGACGGGGCCGATGCGGTCGTGCAAGCCGTGGCGGTCGCGGAATTCCCAGCCATAGGTCGCCGGGTGCCAGCGGTCGTAGACGGCGGTCGGCAGGATGCGCTTGAGCAGGGGGCGGAGCGCCGGGTTCAAGGCCATGTACAGCGGGTTTTGCGTGTTGACGGGGCACAGCAGCACGGGGAAGCCGCTGCGGACGGCATTGCGGTAGTTGACGTACAAACGGTGCGCCGACGACACGAGCCAGGCGCCGAACACGGCCAGGAAGGCGACGAGCCACGTGTGGGCCATGGGAGGCGGGAAGAGGTCGTCGTAGGGTGAGGCGAGGCAGAAGAACGAGCCAGTAAACAAAAATCGAAATCAAAATCTAAACCAACATCAATTACAGAAGACACACTTTGTGTCCTGGCCGTGTCGGGGCCATCCAACGTCTTATGTTTCTGGTCCCACAGCTCGCGTGGACTGCCGGAAACACGGAATGTAGCATTTGGGCCCCGACCCGACAGGTCGTCCACTCTCAGCCACTCTCAGCTGCCTTTTCGCATTGCAAACATGCTAGCTTACTGGCAGCGACCCCAAGCAAACCCCGTTGGCATGGGATGTGTGCATACGCAAAGTACGACATGCTCCCTAAGACATCGTACTCGCCGCAATGGGCTTCTTTGGCCCTCATTCTGTGTCGTACTAGGTCTTCCGTATACGAGAAGAGAGTATGGAAGGGGAGAAGGGATAAAACAGGCTGAAACCTGTGCGATTGGCAGGGTCTTGTCATCGACTAGGGATTTGGAGCCAAGAAAGGACCGCTGCTAGGACCGCTCGGACCGCTCGGTTTCACGGGCGCACGTAGCTGCAGCACCACGAAGCCACTCTGCTTTGAGGACGCGGTGGACGACGACGCGAACGCATACTCCGTATTAGGACAGAGACTCGTGTCGATACCGGGCGATGCTGCCGGCGGCGATGCACAGCGGATGGACACAGCAGCGATTCCAACTCGGTCAGGACTGCAACCGGTGGGCAGCTGGGACGTGAACACCAGCGACAGGCACGGCAATAAACGTGCTGACAATCCGCTGCCGTCACTGTGGCGTGTCCTGAAGGCCCCGGCGTGCGTCGCGTCGTCGTTTGGCGTCCAGGCCAGGGCGATGGAGGACACGTTCAACTTGCCAGTGTTGGAGTTGGAGGCTTGCGACAGACTGTTGATTCCAAAGCGTCCCCACCAAGCGCCGCCGCCTACCCGCCCAATCGTCAGCGCATCTGTATTGGCGTAGCTGTCCTGGTTTAGGATGCAAGTGCACGTTGTACCGACGACGACGTCCGTACGATACGGTAGCCAATCGTCTTTCACCCATCTCAATCTGTCGATCCGATGGCGCCGTGCAGCTGCCAGTATTAGTCAGACGGCCAGGGCTGTCGTCATCGTTGCATCAGTGCCCCGCATTCCCGCATTCAGCACTCTTAGTACGTTTTACAGCGCATTCTTACTCAAGCTTCTTCACACGCACGTCTTGACGCAACCCTCCACCATCTCGCTCCGGCCACCCGATTCCAAAGACCGCCAGGCCTCCCGACTCCCCACAACCACACCCCGACTGCCATGCCGGACGACCGCCGGACTGTCTCGGCGCCGCCGCCGTTTCACCGCGCAGGCGGCTACTTGCGGCGTGCCGGCCATGCCGCCTCGTTCCCGCTCCGCGGCATCGGCTACTTTTGCCGCCACCGCGAGTTCCACCCGCTCTTCGCCGGCCGCCTGCTGCCGCTCGCCCTCATTTCCTTCATCGTCTACCTGATCCTCTTCACCTTTGCCTTTTTGCCCCAGTTCGCCTTCCTCGCCATCTTCCACGGCTGGGGCGCGTGGGTCAACGCCGTCGTCCTCGTGCTCGGCGAGGGGCTGGTCGTCACGCAGGGCCTCTTTGAGGGCTTCTTCGTCGACGAGGCCCGCGTCGACGTCTTTGACGCCACCCTCATCAAGACCGGCTACACCGACCTGGTCGCCCCCCACCGCATCGTCGACGCCACCGCCCCGACCGCCGTCCGCATGCTCGGCAAGCCCACCGTGGCCGCCGCCTACCAGCCCTGGAGCATCGTCCAGATCGTCGAGCTGATTGTGTGCCTGCCCCTCAACCTCGTGCCCCTCGTCGGCACGCCCGCCTTCGTCCTCATCACCGGCTCGCGCCTCGGCCGCCTCTCCCACTACCGCTGGTACAAGCTGCGCGGCCTCACCCGCAAGGAGCGCAACGCCGAGATCTCGCGGCGCGGCTGGGACTACCTCTGGTTTGGCACCGTCGCCATGCTGCTCGAGCTCGTGCCCGTGCTGTCCTTCTTCTTCCTGCTGACGTCCGCCGCCGGGTCGGCGCTGTGGGCGGCCGAGCTAGAGGGCCAGCGGCGGCAGGCCGAGGGTCTGGGCGACGGCCGTGTTGTGCCTGGCGCCGGCGAGGGCGACGGGGCCATTGTCGCTGCAGAAGACGACCCGCCACACTACGAGGACAATCCCGTTTGAGTCGGCCGATGCGGTCAACTCTGCTTGTTTTCTTTTTTCTTTTTGTGAATAGACAGGGCTGGGCGATTTGTAGCTTTCGGATTGTATGTTCCTTTTTTGTATTTTTGGTTTTCTCTACGTTTGCAGCCTCTCTGGACACCGCGTTCTTCTTATGTGATCCTTCTTTCTTTCTTTGCTATCCTCCCGACCTTCCATGACGTCTCCTCGCGAATAACATATTTGGCAGCATTATGCTCATTACTTCCCGAGGATGTGGTTCCTTCCTATCCGGGACGTGTATCGCGGTGGAGCTCGCCGGTGTGCACCCAACCGCGTCCAGCGCGTGCCTTCCGTCTCCGGCTTCCCACTGCCGCGATGTCTGCGCATCGTCCCTTCCACATCTGGCAACCTTCACCACGCTACACGTTCTGGCGCGCCACACAGGACGGCAGGCGCGTTCGACCGGAAGGCGCCTGCGCGCCCAAAAGAATGTTCCCGCTCTTTCTTCTCTTCGACCTCATCTTGTCTCCTCTCGTCGGCCCCCTGTCTTCCCCTTTTCTCTCTCTTCTCATCGTCGCCGTACTTTACCTCCGTTCTCTCTCACCACCCGTCACCTCTCACCCGGCACAATCGCTTGCTTCCGACCCCTACTCTCACATTCTGTAGTCGCACATCTCAAGGCAGCATCGCCATTATGCAAGTCACCACGAAACTGGCTGCTCTGGCAGCTTCCGGGATGCTTCCCACCATCATGGCAGCTCCATTTGGGTTCGTCTCTTCTCTGAACAACGCGTATAAGATCACAAAAACTGACGTTTACCAGCATTGCCGGTCGCTTGGTGAGCTCCGTGGATTCTGTCAGCTCCGCCCCCGAGCCCAGCACCTACCCATACGTTCCGGCCACGTCAGCCAGCCAAGTCCCCATGATGGAATCCTTCTCTGTTGACTTTGGCACCGGCTCCTGGTCACCGTTTGCCACAAGTGTCAGCTCGTCCTCTGCATCTGGATCTGCTTCCGCAAGCTCCTCTGATGACTGGGACCAGTCTCCGGCTTCGTCGTCCGAGGTGCCTCCCTACGGATCCATCGTGCCTGGCCCAGTTCCGTCCTTTACTGTTGTCGTTGAGAGCTTTACTGTTCCCATTCCCCACCCGTCAGCCACTGCTACGGTTGCCCCCTCTTCGGTCTTGAGCTCTCCTGTGTCCTCTTTGTCCGTGACGTCTCCCACGTTGAGCACAGTCACCGCGACCGCAACAGTGCCATTCGAGTCTGGGTTCACAATCGTCCACACATTCACCATCACGGAGAGTGCAATCATCAGCTCGTCTCTTGCGACGCCACTTCCATCTGCGTCTCTGTCCCTGGACTCGTCTGTTGTCTCAAAGCTGTCCCGCTCTGCCAAGTCTGCTTCGTCGCTGGGAAGTGCGATGCGCTCCATCTTCTCCGACATGGACGGATCCCAGAGCGGCGTCGGCCCTGTGATTGCGCCCAACTCCGCGGTTTCCACCAAACCGGGCCAGATGAAGCGGCCCAAGTCCATGATCACAGCCACGTTCACGCTTACTTTGCCGACAAGCACCTTTTTCATGCCCATCCTGCCCACGCATACAGGCTCTATGATCACTGCAGACTTTACCCTCACACTGCCTGCACCGCCCTCGTCGACAGCCGGGCCGGTATCCAGCACAATCGACCAGTCCTCAGGCGCGTCGGAGACGGTCACCGAGTCATGCTCTACGTCTTCCACGCTTGCCACCTCTACGTCCTGTGAAACGCCTCTGACTCCGGTGCCTACTGGTTTCCCGGAGACGTTGACCCTCACTCTGTCAACCAAGGTCACGCTCACCATCAATGGCACCCAGACCACCTCATGTTCTACGGAGACGACCCCTGCTGTCCCCTCCGGATCGGATGCCATTACGGTGACCTACACGCTGCCTGGTGGACCGGGCCGCGCCAACCAGACGGTGACACTCACGACAGTGCGTCCTACACCTCAAGCTAGCTCATCGGGAGTTCCGTCGTCGGCATCGGCGTCGCTTCCTTCTGGCCCAACGGTAGGTCCAACTGGCACGGGCAGCATCGCATTCCCCCCTGCGTCATCGCTGCAGCCTTCGGGTGTCGTCCCATCGCCTGCATTCTCGGGTGTCATTGTCGTCACAGAGACCAAGACTTTCACGGAGGTGCACACCGCCACTGGTGCTGCTACGACTGCCCCCGACGCGCACACAACCCTGGCCGTTGGCGGCCCTCATCACCACAACGTCACGACGTTTGCGACCGGCACTGGCACTGGCACCGGCATTGGCACTAGCAGTGGCGGTGTTCGTCCAACCGCACATGGACCCTTTGCCAACGCGACAGGCACCCACGTTAGCGAGGGTACTGCGAGTCCTACCCGCGGCATCCACATCAGAGACGCCGAGTGCAATCGCAACCCCAAAGGTGCCCGCATTGTTCTGAACGTGAGTATTCCCTGTAATCGTGTCTGTTGTTGCTTCAACTGTTCCTAACGCTTTCGTGTCCCCCAGTTTGACGACACCGTGATTCAGGAGGAGGGCCTGGTGGCTCCCAACACTCAGGGCTTTGCCAACCCTGACCAGGGCATGCAGTTCAGCGGCGGCTTTGAGCGGGTCGTCTACTCACCCACCAGCCGTTTCGTCCCGTCCTCCATGCCTGGCATGCTTCGATTCAGCCTCCCGCCCACCACACGCCACGGCATTGTCAACGGTGTGGCCAAGATTGGTGCGGCCGACAGCTGCTCGCGGTTCAATTTGGTGTCCTGGAACCTGGGCTGTGACGCGACCGACGCGCCGTGCCGCTTCAACATCACGGGCTTCCGGCTGGCCGGCGGCGAGGAGGTGGCAACGGGCTCGCACGTGTTTGTTATTCCGCGCGCCACCAAGACATCGGGCAACACGCTCCATCCGGTCGCCTTTGACGCAACCGACGACTTTGCCAACCTGTCGTCGTTTACCGTGGATCTCGAGCCGGGGAACGTTGCTGGCGGCCGTGACAGTATGTGGTGGTCGGACGATTTGAGTGTTGCCCGTGTCTGCGGCGGCTCGCCTTTCTGCGCGGCGATTGAGACGAGCGACAAGACCACTGGAGAGGATGCAGTCAAGAAGGCAGTCCCGTTCTGGCACCACTAAACGAACTGAGTGGTCTACACTGTCACGAGACATGTGTGCCGAGCAAAAGGCACGTGGTTTGATTTTCGCGGTTGTTGATACGCGTCCTGTTCGATGTTGCTTAGTTCCGTTTCTCTTCTTTCTTTCTTCAGTCGCGGTGAATCGTTCAGCCGGTGGGTGTGTTTGTCATGAAAGTTTGTCGTTTGTTGAAGAGTGCTGTCAGCATAACCGAGCCAGGCCGAAGGCCGCCGGGGCTGCAGTCACAGGTTGTGGGAGGGGGTTGTGCGTCATCTGATGGTTGGTATTTGTACGGTTTCATTTGTTTTACGTGTGCGCATAATAGAATGTTGTCTTTCATTTGTTTTCTGCGTCGTACAAGAACAATCTGATGGAAGGACTGTGGAGGAGGCGACGAAAGAATGAGTTGTCAATTGAATGTTTCCTGACAGAGGACACCAGTCACCTCAATAAATTCACTGATCTTGTCTCGATGTCGACAGCCTTGCTTTCTGTATCATGGCCGTCTCCCTGCTGTCATTCGAGGCGGTACGTATGACAGTAGATCGATCGCTCTCTGCCACGCCGTAATCTCGAGTAAACTTGCCGTTGAGAAAAGGCTCCGTCATTTACACTGATCAGCGTACTCGATCATCTCTGAGCGGTAAAACGTCCTCTGTCGTATATTGCAGACGTGTGCTCCTTGACGCTCATGTTGTCCAGGTGCGGCTCGTGTTTCAGCACAGCGAGAGTTGGCCTGCGCCCGGCAGTGAATAGCGGAGAATGCTGGGGGCATCCGATCTCGGCTAACGGGACCAGTGGCCTCACTGCAGAAGACGGATGCAACTGCTGCTTTGGGCAGTGGAGGTCTGGTGTCGGCGTTAGTCCGTGTCGTGGGCTTGGGGCCTTTCGGCTTTAGGTGCTCTCTGACCGCTTTGTAGCGGCACCCTGACGGGACTGACACCTAGTAGGCCCTGCGGCCCTGTAATCTGTAATGCCCTGTGGCAGAGCGGCGCTCAGCCGGGTGGCCTGTCCGGTGTCTTCCCCGGGGCTCATGCATGCCCGGTTGCCGATTGTCCGGAAATTGGCGCTGGTTATCGATTTGCAATCATTTGGCTCCAGCTGTTTCCCGTTGGTTATGGTTACACTGGCTGCACCGATGTGCATTTGGGTGTCCTGCTGCATAATGTCTGTGTCTGCAGAGTGATTACAGCTTTCCTTCAAAAGGACCCATATGACTCCGTACAAACGGACGTAGCAGCGGAAATAAATTCTCACCGGCGGTACTACTTCGTATGGACCTTTCCCCTCGCGTCTGCTAGGGACCAATACTAATGCTGAAGCTCCAGAAACTGACTGGTGCAACCTTACTTTTTTTTTCTTGGAGGAACGCTCTCGCGCTTTCAATAACAGCGAGCTTGGTCAGCCATGTGGGAAGCTGTACTTTCGCCTCTTGCAGTGGGGAGGCTGTCTGGAATGGCCTCTTTCTTTTCCTTGTTGTGCCTGCGACTGTGTTTTGCCGTGTATCCCAGCGGTTTGTGATTCCTTTTCTACCTCTGTCCCTCGTGTCGCCCTTGGAACATGCTGCCAGGAGCGAGTCTATTGACTGGTTTGATAAAATCTCGTCACCGCAGGCAACGTCCTTGCGATTGCGGGTTCTGGCGGTTCCCGACGTCGTATCGAGCCCCATACTTGCTGGTCGATAGGAAGAGACCGACGAATCGAGGAGTCAACACAGCGGTTGGCGTCGGCGCTGACCCGCCGATAGACAACAAAACACACGAGGTTGGGGGCCCATCGTGGCTCGGGATATGCAAAAGACCCCGGGCGGTGCGAAGAGCCAGGGCCGCTCTCCCGTTGACCTTTTAGGGTATTCAAGCACCTTGTTGAAACTTTCCATCACAGCCATCACAGCCATCACAGCAGCCGTCACCACAGTTTCAGTTACAGCTTCCCCCGGTTGTTGCTATCCGTATCTCATCACCGCCGCTTCTCAACTCTTATCCGACTCCTCGTTCTTTCTCCACATCCACCACCACGCTAGTCTACGGCTGTGAGCTTGGGCGTGCAATCGTGGCAAAGAAGCGGGCAAGGAGGCGGACCGAAAAGGGAAGGCCCAGAAAAAGAACGGAGAAATGAAGAAAAATAATAATAAATAATGCAAAGAAAGTACAAAAGTGCCGAGTCTGCTCACCACTATGCATGACTCGACAGCCGTGAAGGATTGAAGCAGACTGCCTCTCTCCTTCTCCCCAGTTGCATCCCGACTGCGCACTCTTTTTGTTTTTACTTTCCCCTGTCTGCGTTGTAATCACAGCAGCTTTCGCATAGCGATTTCGGCGCTTTCGTTTTAGCGTATCCAGTTAAACAACTGTGGACTCCATATCGATCCCATCTTCGTCTGTATCGGTATTATCAAGGGTCTGACTTCTCACAAGAGTATTTTCATTCTCCAAGAACACCCCCACGATCCCACGATCGACAGTCTCCGAATCAAGTCTTCCCAACGTCCCAGCATCCCAATTCAACCTCAAGACGGCACACCGCGGCCCGAAACGGCTCAAACGGCATCCTTCGGCACGATGGCGCAGCCGCCGCCGGGCAGCCAGGACGACCTGGGCCAGCAACACGGCTCACAGCACGCCGTCGACGCGAGTGAAACGGCGAGAGACAGCACCACAATCTCGTCGTCGTCCAGCACAAAACACGAAGAACAGCCCGACATAAAAAGCAACGCACGATCCGGTCTCGTGGACGAAGAAAAGGGCCAGCCAGCAGCGGGCGAAGACGGCGAAGACGACGAGACGGGCAATGGACCGGCATTGCGAGGCAACAACGACGGCATCGTGGGCGGTGCTGCCCCGGACGGGCACGGCAGCGGAAAGCAGCCCGAGGACGGCGTGCAGGGCGGCCTGCTGGCGCGCGTCCGGAGCCGCGCCAGCACGACGCGGTCCAAGCACTTCGACCCGGGCCCGCCCCCCGACGGCGGCGTCCAGGCCTGGGTCGCCGTCGCCTGCACGCACCTGGTCATCATGGACACGTGGGGCGTCATCAACTCGTTTGGCTCGTTCCAGACGTACTACACGCAGCTGCTCGGCCGCGCGCCCTCGGACATTGCCTGGATCGGCTCGTTCCAGATCTTCTTGCTCTTCTTCATCGGCACCTTCACGGGCCGCCTCACGGACGCCGGCTACTTCAAGCACCTGCTGGTCGCCGGTACCGTCCTGCAGCTCGTCGGCATCTTTGCGACCGCGCAGGCCACGCAGTACTGGCAGATCTTTCTGTCGCAGGGCGTCGTCATGGGCCTCGGCAACGGCTGCATCTTCTGCCCCTCGCTCGCCACCGTCAGCACCTACTTTAGCACCCGGCGCGCGCTCGCCCTCGGCCTCGCCGCCGCCGGCAGCGCCACCGGCGGCCTCGTCTTCCCCTCCATTGTCCGCCAGCTGCTGCCGTCCGTCGGCTTTCCCTGGACCATGCGCGTCATCGGCTTCGTCCAGCTGGCCACCCTGGCCGTCGCCTGTGTCGGCCTGCGCACGCGTCTGCCGCCGCGCCGCGCCGGCCGCCTCGTCGAGTGGTCCGCCTTCCGCGAGCCCGAGTACGCCTTTTACGCCGCCGGCAGCTTCTTTGTTTTACGTTTTTTTTTTTTTTTTTTTTTTTTTTTTTTTTTTCTCGTCTTCTACTTCGTTCACTCGCTAGTAGTTTATGTCTTCCTTTACTTTTTTCTCTTCGTTTATATTGTATTCTTCTTGTCGTCTGGTACGCTCCGCCCGTTCCCTGCCCAACCGCTAACCCCCCCAGTGCTTCTGGTCCATCTACATCGCCTTCTTCTACATCGCCTCCTACTCCCGCGACATCATCGGCTTGGCCTACATCGACTCCCTCAACCTGCTCCTCGTCATCAACGGCGTCGGCGCCATCGGCCGCCTCCTCCCCAACTACATCGCCGACCGCGTCGGCGCCATCAACATGTACGCCGTCTTCGCCCTGTACGCCGCCGTCGCCGGCTTCTCCTGGATCGCCGTCCACAACACCGTCGGCCTCTACGTCTGGAGCGTCGTCTACGGCATCGCCGCCGGCGGCATCCAGTCCCTCTTCCCCGCGGGCCTGACCAGCCTCAACACGCGCGACCTCTCCAAGTCCGGCGTCCGCATCGGCATGGTCTTCACCATCAACAGCATCGCCACCCTGACCGGCCCGCCCATTGCCGGCGCCCTCATCACCGCCGACAACGGACGCTACCTGGGCGCGCAGCTCTTTACGGGCGTTGTGCTGCTGATCGGCATGTGCTTCATCGTGTGTGCCAAAGTGTCGCTGGGCCGGAGCACGGGTCTCGGCTGGCGGGCCAGGGTATAATAGAGGGTGTATGTACATGTCTGCTGTTCTTTGTATCGAAAAAGCATTGCAAACCAGGATGTCTCCGATGGTGCACTCGCGTGTGCCGTCGACTCGTCGACTGTGTAGATTTCGATGTCGTTGACCTTGTGCCGTAGCCTGAGTTTGGCCATACAACTTCGGTTCCGGCGGTCGGCGGTTCGGCTCCATGATCTCCTTGGCCGTTTCCAATCCCGTTTCCGTCGTTGTATTCACCGCATTGCGCCCGGATCGTCGGTGATTGCCGGTACATCCGTGACATCAAAGTCCGTGGTTTCCAGACAACAGTTGGCTGTGGCTCAAATGCACGCAGCAACGCATATGGTACACCAATGGCCCACACGTCGATGACCGTGTCAATCACAACATGCCACATGATACATTTGGAGACGGTATCCAAGCGGTGCATCTGAGGACGGAGAGGCCAAGGACGAAAGGGTGATAAGAAGGTGACAAAGCAAAGCAATACCGTGAAGTGACGGTAGGCGGTGGGCGACGGCAGAATCGTCTTTAGAGCGCTGTTATTCTAAAATTGCCTAAAACGGAAGGATCATGATAACACGGCATCATTCATCGCTGCCTTTCTGCTTTTATTGTGGCTTTGGTAGGGTCGTTCAAGATTGTGATTCAGTCAGACCATCCTCTTCCATCTTTCTTAGGTTACCTCAAGCTCTTGCCAGTCTATGGATTTTAAGGATCGCGGGTTGAAAAGCTTCAAGAGAGCCGGTACGAATGACTGGCATTCCCATTAGACACTGCACCGTCGCTTCTTCCTTTACGACGTCGAATTCTGATCGTTTTGGACATAATTTCTATCTCTGTCCAAGATACGCCGATGTGTTGGCCCTTCTCTGCCTGAAACGGCTCATCATGTAAGCGAGCGCTCATCCCATCGTGTTCAGATGTACGCAACCGAACGAAGAGTGTCACTTGGATCAGAATCAGAATCAGAACCGTGTACTGCGCTGCGGCCGTGAGGTTTTGACAAGAAGCCACCGAGACATCTGCATCAAAGTGATTTGGGCTGACAAGCAGCAAATCAAGCCAGCAACAATGGCTTTCGAGCAGCCTTTCCCAGTCAGAACTACCCGCCCGATCCGCCTCCCATTGGTGTTTTGTACTATTCACTTCGTATGTCAACTTCGGAGCAGTACTCAATCAATTCAAATATATACGGTATGCTTTTCTCTATTTTCTTTTGTTTTCATTTTGAAAGCCACCCCCCTAGTTGAAAACCACCGTCTTGGTGCCGTTCAAAAAGACCTTGCGCTCCGCGTAGCCCTTGACGGCCGCCGCCAGCACGCGGCTCTCGACATTCGAGCCCTCGTCGATCAGCGCCTTGGCGCTCATGCTGTGGTCGACGCGCGCCACGTCCTGCTCTATGATGGGGCCCTCGTCGAGGTCGGCCGTCACGAAATGGGCCGTGGCGCCGATGATCTTGACGCCGCGGTCGTAGGCCTGGTGGTACGGCTTGGCGCCCTTGAAGCTGGGCAGGAAGGAGTGGTGGATGTTGATGATGCGGCCCGACATGGCCGTGCAGAGCGTCGGCGACAGCACCTGCATGTAGCGCGCGAGCACAATCAGCTCGACGCCGTGCGCGGCGGCCAGCTCGAGGACGCGCGCCTCCTGGGCGGCCTTGGTGTCCTTGGTGACGGGCAGGTGGACAAACTCGATGCCGTAGGACCGCACCAGGTCGGCAAAGTCCGGGTGGTTCGACACGACGAGGGGCACGTCGGCGCGCAGCTGGCCCGTCTTGACGCGGAACAGCAGGTCGTTGAGGCAGTGGCCAATCTTGGAGACCATGATGAGCATGCGCAGCTTGCGGTCGACGGGGCGGATGTCGTACTTCATGCGGAAGTCGGCGGCGAGCTTGTCAAAGGGCGCGGCGAGGAACGCGGTGGACTCGGTCTCGGAGGGGCCAAAGTGGACGCGCATAAAAAAGGTCTCGGAGTCGCGGTCGGAGAACTGCTGCAGGTCGAGCACGTTGAGGTTATGCGCGGCCAGGACGCCCGTCACGGCATGGACGATGCCGGGCTTGTCGGGGCACGACAGCGTGAGGTAATGCGCTCTGGACATGGTGGGAGGAGGCCGAGGCCGAGGCCGAGGATGTCGAGATGGAGGCAGGAGTGAGTCGTGCGGACCAGCGAAGAAAGGCGACGAGGAAACGGAGGACGACGGGACGAGAGACGTGGAAAACGTCGTTCGCGGGCAGAGCGGACAAGACGTCAATGTAGCTGTTGTGTGACGACGTGTTGCAACGACGAGCCGAGGCAGAGATCAGGGAGTACACCGAAGCAAAAGTCTTGTTGAAAGATGCTGTCGTGCCCAAAGTCGTGTGTGGCAAGGAGAGGGCTAGAAGAGCAACGAGACGTTCATCGCCCACAGCAAACAGCACGAGAAAATCGCAGGCCGTCGCGGCTGGCCAAGTGGGGCGCTCGCTAGGAATAGCGCCGAGCACGGTGCTTCTGGGCCCTTCTGCCCTGCTTCCCCTCCAAAACCCCGAATTGGCTCTAAATGGCCCAGGACACAACGGCTCATCCGTGACTCACAACCACCCCAATTCGCAGTCAAGAGCCGACTTTTAAGGTATGCGCACCCACGAGTCCAGTGAGGGCAGCATTCTGGTGTTAACCCCAACTTTCTGCCACACGATGCAGTCAATTGACTCAAAACGGGCAGAGATGGACAGTCGTGTGGTCCAGTGGGCGCGGGGAATTCTCGGTGTTTGTTAGACCCGCCACCAGATAGCAGACGCCTACGCGGCCAGAGACGGCCACAATGCAGCACAAGTGGGACAAGCAGATGGACAAACAGATCCGGATCATCGTGGTATCGTCATATTTTGCAGAAGCAGACTTTCGAAAGACTGCTGGTCATATATACTCGTACAAGTGCAGTGCGCCCTATGCTGTTTGGTTGAGTCCCTCTCACCGCAGATGGTTGACCACACTGCCCACCATGACGGCAATCTCTCGCTCCCAGTTGCCACTGGTGCTGCCACCCGGGGTGCCGCTCTTGGTCGCCGTCTTGCCGGTGCCGTTGGTCGTCCCGTTTTCTTTTGCCGTAGCCGCCCGTGGGCCGCCCGACGTCTGCATGCCCTTGACAACACACGCCCGAATCGACTCGCCCACGCCTTGCCGGTTGCTGCGCAGCGTCCGCGCGGACACGCCACCGCGTGTGATGATGTCCTGGACGCGCGGCGACAGGTGGCCGGCGAGGGTGCGCCAAAAGTACGCCGGCAGCGAGCCGGTCTCGAGCTTGGCCAGCAGGGGCTGCAGAAGGGTGTCGGAGGGCTGGGAGGTGGTTGTGTTCAACAAATGCTTGAGAGGGTGTGCCGGTGCCTTGGTCGACGCGAGCAGCTGCTCGAGGGCCACAATGTTTTGGCACCGCGCGCTGACTTCGGCGAGGGAGCGCTCCAGGGTCGGCAGCGCCGCGAGCGACCGGGCCAGCGCGGCCAGGCTGCTCTGGAGGGCCGCCCGCAGGTAGAGCTCGAGGGCCTGCAGCATCGTGGCCGGCGTCCACGGCGTGCCGGCGCCGCCGCCCAGCGGCGTCGGCGAGACAAGGTAGAGCGCGACGAGGGCCGAGACGGTGCGCGCCTTGGCCTCTTCCGACTGCGCAAACGTCATGTCGTGCTGGGTCGTGGTCGCGCCCAGCGAGAACTCGCGGACGACGCGCTCGGCCGTCTCGCGCACCGTCTTCTCAATGGGCGTGATGACCGTGTCCTGCAGGCTGCGGATGGCGTCCACGCGGTCCAGCCCGTGGCCCTCGTCGCCCGGCGCCCTCTGCTGCAGGACTTCGCGCAGCGACAGGATGGTGTGGGCACACCGCACCAGCGCCCGGTGGTCTTCCCTGTCCCTGTCGCCCAGCTCCGCGTTTTGTATCTCGAGCTGCCGCCCCAGCTGCAGGCACCGCCCCACCGACCGGCCCAGCCGCAGCGACTCCCAGAGCCGCGACGCCACCTGCCGCACCTCGTCCGCCTCGGCGTGCTTCTGGATCACCTTGGTCTCGAGCTGGCGGTACGTCTCGTTGAGCGACGCCAGCTGCGGCTCGAGCTCCGACACAATGCGCGTGCTGGTCTGCGTCTGGTTCTTGGTGTGCGTCAGCAGCGGCACGGCCGACCGCGCCGTCAGCAGGTCGATGTGCGAGTCAATCTCCTGGATGTCAAAGAGGACCCGCGACAGCGGCGTGGCCAGGTCGAGGGGCGCATCGTTGGGGTCGTTGGTCGACAGCACCAGCGAGTTGGCGAAGCCGGCGACGTCAAACTCGGGCGCGAGGAAGGTCTCGTAGTCGATGTACGACGGCTGGTCGTCGGGTTCGGCCATGTTGGGGGGAGGAGTAGTGGGGAGAGTCGTGGGAGGTAGGAAGTAAGATAAGGCTGTCGCCCAGGGTCAATGCAATTGGAGACAGCAACAGTCGGAGAGCTAGGCTCAAGCACAACCACATGTTCGGTTTACGGACCCCACAAAATGGATGCAGGCGACAGCCAATGGCGGGGCCTGGATTTCTGCGGGGCTGCAGTTTACTGATGACGCGGAGGAAGCGACACCAGAGTTGCTTAGTCGCATATATGTGGCTGGAGTACTTCGTATGTGGCTTGCAAGCTGCGATAAGGCCGATAAAAAGAAAGAAAACTGAGGCGGCTCGCGAAACTGTGGAGCCGCGAGAGAACTGGAGTCGATTTGTGCGGCATTTGCAATGTCAAGGTGACAGCAGCGGCACTGACGAGGCATTGGCTGTGATGGGTCTCATTTCGGTCACGTCACAAGAAGACATGCGATGGTTCTACAGTTTGAAAGCGACAGACAATGACAGCGTATTTCGTATGAATGATAGACATTATGCAAGACGTGGAAGAGCACACGATTCGCTCTTTCTGTCTTGGCCTCTTGGCCTCTTTCCGCATCTGTTGTTTGTCGTCTCTGACGTTATGCTGTTGTGTCGCTCCTTCCCTCTTTCACTCTCCTGCCACTCGTATTTCGCGTTCCGGGCACTCCGCGGATTTCCTACGCAGGCGCCTGTAAATCTCGGCACGAGTCGAAGGCCAAGATGGAGACTACCAAACACCCGAATGACCAGGCAATAGCATGTATCGTTTCTCTTTGTGGCCTTTACCTGGTAAGGTGTCGTAGAGAGTCGTTTGCTGCGAAATTGGCTGGGGCCTTGGGAGCCTTTGCTGACCCGGGCTATCCGCACGCTCCTGCCCAGGGCGCTGTTAATCGCTCACTCGCACCTGCCCTGCGATAAATCGCTCCAGCAAATCGCTCCTTCCCGCTATTCGCGCCCGGACACTCGGCACCAGTAGGCTGTAAAATCTTTCTCCGCCACCGTCGCGACGCCCGCTCCAGCGCGCGTCCACGCCTAAGCAGGCTTTGCATGCGCTGTGACCTGCTGTTCTGTCTTTCATGCGTTTTAGCGTCAACAGGGAAAGAGCGAAGGGCGAGCCAGGCCATAGCAAGCGGCCCCAGTAAAAAATAACACAACGCGCGCCAGTGGCTGTCAGCCAACGCCCGCGCCTTGCGGGTTTCTCATCATTCTTTCTTGTCTCTGCCTCCCCTTCTTGTTTTTCTTTTCGTGGTTCGTTTGGATATCCCTTTTTGTTTCTTCATTTTCTGTTTCCGTTTCTGTTTTGCATCCAACTCAGCTGGGACGTGGTTTGGCGGATTCCTCCCGTGTTTCGACTGAGGATACCAGACGCCACCATTCGCATCAATTGCGAATAGCTTCACTGCCGATTGACGACTGTACGATTAGCACATCCACGGCGTTCCCAAGGCATGGTCTGAACTGCTCCTCGTCGACATTTCCCGTACGCCGCCTCGTCTCCGCCTACCGCTACCGCCACCATGGGCAACGTCTTCGACGCCCGCGATATCCTCGCCTTCCCCGGCGGCAGCAACTCCTCCGACACCCTCGTTGCCGGCGTCCACTTCAACCTCACGGCCCTCGACTTCTGGAACTACACGCTCTTCAGCAACGGCACGCTGTCCAACGGCTCGAGCTGTTTCCTGACGTTTGCGCCCTACACGCCAAAGCTCCTCTTCCCCAATGGCACCTTTATCAACTCGACGTCGTGCTACTCGCCCATCAACCCCATTGGCACGCGCGCCAAGATCGGCATCGGCTTTGCCGTCGGCTATGCGGTGGCCCTCTTCTTCGTCATGATGAACCTGCGCAAGCACGGCCGCCTGTTTCTGCCGTCCGAGAAGCGCTTCCGGCCCATCGGCCGCCGCTGGCAGTGGTACTGGGGCATCCTCATCTGCGTGGCCGCCTTCGTCTCCCTCTTCACAAACATCGACGTGGACCGCTACTACCTGCCGGAGCTGCCCATTGTCCTGACCTCCTTCTTCTGGTATCTGCTGCAGATGTGCACCATGGCCCTCGTCTGGGAGGCCGTGCGCCACTGGGGCTCGTGGATGGAGCGCCAGTTCATCGACCCCAACCCCTTTGCGCTCGGCGAGGACGGCCGCCGCTACAAGTTCGAGCTGCTCATCCCGCTGGTCTTCTACCTGTTCCTGTGGCTCAACTTCTTCCTCGTCGTCCCGCGCGCCTGGGGCAACATTGAGAAGCAGCGCAGCCCCGACCAGATCGTCGGCATCGCCGAGCCCAACGCCACCGACATCCGCTTCAAGATTGCCGCCTTCTTGCTGCTGGCCTCCTGGATCGTCACCGTCGTGTCCCTGCGCCACTCCATCAAGCACTACCTGCCGCGCAACCGCGGCATCTTCAACCGCGCCGTCGGCGTCGTGTCGAGCGCGCCGCCGCGTCTGGTGATCCTGCTCGTCCTGTCGCTCGCCATGATTGCCTACCAGGCTCTCTGCGCCTGGGAGTTCCAGTGGTCCGTCCTCAAGGTCGACGGCGACCACCTCCCCATCTACCTGGGCGGCTACACCCCGCCCCTGCTCATCCTCTTCATCCAGAACCTGTACGGGTTCATCGCCCCCAACGAGGACCGCGAACTCATCCGCCAGCGCCGGCTGCGCGGCGCCGAGCAAGACCGCGAGCTCGGCATCGTGCACAAGCCCGCCTGGTGGCGCCGCGTCAACGGCGACTACATCCCCGACGGCGAGAGCATGCGCGACCGCATCGCCCGCAACGTCCGCGAAGTCGGCGGCGGCCGCGCCACCACCCGCGGCATCGACCAGGCCATGGCCAACCGCGACCACGACATGGAGGCCGCCCAGCGCGCCGCCGCCGCCAATGGCGAGTCGGTCGAGATGGGCCCCATCTCGCGCCAGAGCACGGCCGCCTCCTCCTTGTATGGCGGCAGCAGCAGCCGTCCTGGGCCCGGCGCCGGCTCCTCGCGGCCGGCGCAGTTAGAGACGTACGCGGGCAAGTCGGACCGCCGCCGCACCGAGCGCACCATGGCCGCCGTGGCCAGCATGCTCTTCCCCGGCGAGGGCGGTCCGACGCCCGATGAGCGCCGCTCCGAGCTGATGCAGGAGGGTCCGCCACCGTATGCCGATGCCGCCGCCGAGAGCGCGCGTGGCCGGACTCGGCAGCAGTCAGCGGCCAGCGCACCAGGCGCGTCGACGCGCAGCACCTCGGCGGGCACGCTGGTGTCGCTGTCGGGACAGCCGCAGCAAGTGCGGAGCATGCTTGACATTTGAACGAGTTGTGGGCGGGCGAGACCAAAGATTGAGCGGCCACCACCTTAATATATCCCAATCCTACACAACATCCAACGCAACACACATACCGGTCCGGCAACCGCTACACAAGACCACACACGAAACACAGTCGACATGTACAAACGCACTGCGGTACGAGCGCAACGCCGCGACTACACTACGCTTCTCTTGCACAACTTCCGTCGACCTTACAGGCTGCCTCCCTTTGCGCAAGATGATTTTATTTGGAAATGACCTAAAAAGAAATCCACAGAACCACCAACACATACAATACGACCGCGCACGTGTACACGCATTTCGGATGGCGTCAAAAGGGACAAAAGGAGGAATTTACACACTTACAAACGATATTGAGGCCGCAATGATGATGGGGACGCGGATCTGTTAGCAATGCTTTGTCTGGCTAATATCTGATCAGTATATATGCTCTTCATTTTGGAAAGTAATGCCTTTTGGAAACGATGTCTTTAATATGAACCTCTGAATAGAAATCTGCTATTTTGCCCACACCCCCTTTGTGCAAACTGAGTGTTGTGCTTACGCCCATCAATAAACAAGTCACATTACATCCTCCTGTTCTGAAGTGGTCCGAAAACGTGTACGCAGTACCACACTCTAAAACAAGTTGAATGCACAGTATTATCAAGCGTATTATTTCGCAATGTGTACGGAGGAGACATGTATACAAGTACTTCCATTTCTTCATCCAAAAGGTGGCATGACTCATGATGACCTAGCCGACAGTCACTGGTGATCAAATAACACGCTAAATTAAGTATCCAACGAGCAAACCTGTCATATGAGCTAATGAAGCACTGTGTACACTCCTTTAACGCCTCTATACATTTAAACAGTTTCAAATGATTAATTCGTTAATTTTTGTATTATATTCAGCGTTCTTAGAAATTATATCATATTATTTTCTTATTTATTTTGTTTATGAATTTATTTCTGTAACATTTCCATTTTTATTTTATTTTATATTTTTCATTTTGTTTAATTTCGTTGACTTTTTGAATTTTGTTAATTAATAAACCCGAAAATATTTATCACATCACTTGATTCACTCATAACAAGGGGCTTCTTGCGGAATGATCATAAAGTATTCAAATTAGAAGATTGTTTCCTAAAAACATAAACAATAAACTACCTATTGTAACCATCAGAACGTACCCGCATGTCCGTCGTATGCATAATGCGATGCCTCATAACAAAAGTTACGAAAGACAAAAGATGAAAACAAGAAACTGGCCTGGATTGGAGAAACAAAAGAAAACTAGAAACAAAATAGCGCCCGTCCTGGACCTGGTGTATTTCTAAGCGATTGCCGCCGTAGCGTGTGATACAAGTAAAAATGCAAAACTGCAAAGCATAACGAAAACAAAGGTGCCATTGCCAGAAATGCAAAATGCATGAGCCGCACCGACGTTGGAAAAACAAATAAAAAATCTTTGGGGTATAAAAAAGACGGAAAACAAAACAAACGAAAAAAAAAAAAAAAAAAAAAAAAAAAAACGACAAACGTGTTAAGGGACGCCCTTCGTAGGTATAAAATATCATAACCCAAAACAGAGTCCCCATGGGCAGAGACTGAAAACCAACAAGACCAGGATCCAAAAGACAAATAAACTAAAAATCAGACAAGGTATCAAAACTCCCGTAGTGACCCGCAACCAGAAATGAATCCCCAAAAATCCCACGCAAAAAGACGTCGAAGGGCAAAAAAGGGTCATAGGCGGTCATAATAAGGATGATGGAAGAAGAATCGCAGGTAACTGTTGTAGCGTGTGTTGTGCGTAAGGGGGTGAAGAGTGGAGACGAGAACGTGTCGCAGAACGTGGACAGCTAGACGGCTAGGAAGGAAAAAACAAAGCGTTCGTATAAAAAGTGTTTGCAAAATAATTAAAAGTGGTGAATGGTGGAGAGAGAAGCTCCGTCTTGCAGAGCCTTTTCACTTGTGCACTCGCGGGCGCCGATATATTTCGAGCAAAGTGTGTTTGCCCGGTACGAGGTGCGTAAGCGCCGTCGCCATCGCATCAATCCCAGCCTTGTTCATGCTGGGGCCGATGGGGATCGAATGCCCGGGGCCGCAGCCACAAGGGCAAACAGCCTAAAAGGCCCGCGTCGATGTCTGGGCTTCATTGGTAGCCACGGCGACAAGAGCATCTAGACGGCGGTACGAGTCGCTTGCTGGGGCTCCCAACGGCACCGGCTGCTGGGGCTGCGATGGCAGCGGCTGGCGGCTAGTGGTCTGGGCCAGGTGCGGCTGAGGCAGATGACGCTCCTGTTCCAGGCGGTAAGCTGCCTCCTCGTCTTGAGCGTGCGGTGGGTGCTCCTGGACGGTCTGGGGCACACCGCGCGCGGGGAAACCGGTAAAGCCGTTTGCCAAGTTAGGATGCACCATGCGCTCGACGCGGCCATTGACACCGCCGTTCGCCGCGGCACCACCAGGGCCCAAGTATAAGGCCTGGCGCTTCTGCTGGCGCGAGGTTGGGCCGTTAAACGCCGGCGCGGACATGGTGTGCTGGTGACCACGAGGGGTGTAGCCGAGGTCTCTGTTACCACTAGGCGCGAAGGGGTCATCGCGAGGAACCTCGGCCTCAAAGCGGACAGACTGCTGGTACGGCGGACCGCGGCGCACAGGGTCCTCACTGGGGTATCGCTGATGCTGATGCTGATGCTGTTGCTGTTGCTGTTGCTGCTGGTGGGCCCAGTCGCGAGCGCTGTCTTGCGGCGGTGTCCGGGAGGCGATATCAAGCCGGGTCAGGCCATGTTGCAGACCAGACTCCCAGTGGCCCGACGATGGACGGCCGGCGTGTGCGTGTTGTTCCGCGGGCGAACGAAGAATCGACGTCGGTGGGCCAGACGGGGCGTAGCGTTGCTCACTGTCAACCATCATGGGCGACGGCCCTCTGCGGATGGGCGACGCAGGACGCGGCGTGGGCAAATTCAGGAACGAGTCGATTCCGGGCAGCCGGAAACCGCTCGCAGACTGCTGGCTCGCACTTGCCGCGTTCGGCACGGCCAACTGAGGTGGCTGCTCGACGCCACCAGGCTGGTGGTGGCCAGCGACGTTGCCCGCGGACACGGACGTGGTGGGACCAGAGCCAGCGCCAGGAATGCCGTTGCGGGCGCTGGCAGGGCCGCCAAAGTCCCGCGAGCTGGGGTGCCACGTGCGGCGGCGCTCGTCGGTGTTGGACGAAAACGACTCACGACGAGACCAAGCAGAGATAGTCGAGTTGTCGGGCGAGACGGGGCGGCCGTTTTGGTGGGCACGGTCGGGAGACGAGAAGACGGGGCCGCCGGTGCTGGAGAGGCTCGTTGAGTACATGTGTCTAGCAGCAGAAGGGCCGGTCGGCGACTGGAAGTGGAGGCTCTCGCTAAGGCGGCGGGTGGGCGTCTCCGTCGAGGCATACATGCTGTGGGGGCGGCTGCTGTAAGGTGACGGGGAGACCATGCGATTGCTGGGCCACTGTGGGCTGGCTGGGCCGTTGGAGAAGGTGGTCGATGTCGGCGTGGTCATCTCGGGGGGTGTGATGGGACGGTAGCCGTCTGCATTGTTGTGGTAGGCGCTGGCTCCGGCATTCAGGTCCATATGTGCCCGGGCACGAGGGTCGCGGGGATCGTGCGTGGCGATGGGAGGCGGGCGCGGGCGCATGTCACGCATGTCACGCATGTCATGCGGTTCGCGGTATTCTTCACGGGCCATGAAAGAGCTCGGGCCGAGCGCGATGTTGGACGTGGAGAAAGACTTGGAGTGGCCCCGCGCCGGACCGCTGATGCTGCCAGCGCGGGCGCGGACGCCGGGCGTGGTCATGCGCGTGCGTTCGGGGCGGATTTGTCGCTGGAAACGCGTGCCCGAGGCAGCCAGAGAGCCCATGGGAATGTCCTCGTGCATGTGCACGGTCTGGGCGTGTTGGCGGAGGTTGTCGAGGCGGGAGAAGCGGCGCAGGCAGTGGCACTCAAAGGGGCGCTCGCCCGTGTGTTTACGAATGTGTCGTGCGAGATGCTCGCTGCGTGTGAAGCTGAGGTTGCACGGCGGAAACTCGGTGCAGTAGAAGCGCTGGGACTTCTTTTTGCGGCCGGACTTGCCGTTGGTGCTCTCGTCGACATTGCTCTCTGCGTCGGACACGGCGGCGGGATCGGCGGCATCGTCGCTAATGGAGGTGCCGGCTTGAGATCGGCTCCGCTGGGAGTTGTTGCGCTGAATTTGAGACGACGAGTGGTCGCTGGCGGAGTCGCCGTTGCTGTTGGCCGTTGTGATGCTGCTGATGGGAGCGGAGTTGCTAGCCTCGGGCGGGTTGGGAAGCGGCATTTGGTTGGCGAGGCTGCTGGTGCTGGTGCTGTTGTCGGTGTTGCTGGTCTTACTGTTGTTGGGAGCGCCGCTCCCGTCGTCCATGTGGGCGTCCATGGTGAGGGGATGTGGCGAGAGTGAGGTGCCTTCGGTTTGACTGTGACGCAATGTCGTCGGTGGGTAGTATTGCAATGTGACGATGCTCGACTAAGAAAAAGTTAGAAGTTGTGAACACAAAGGGAGTTGGTGAATGTCTTTGGATTTGTAAAGGGCCCGTCTCAGACTAGGGACAGGGAGGGTCGGGAGGATCGGAACGGACAAAAGAGATCGCGAGTGCGCAGACGAAGCAGGGTAACCAGAGGGGCAGAGGGGACAAAGGAGGAAGAGCGAGGATAGCGAAGGGCAGCAAGGCGGAGGCTGGAGGGGACGGGTATTTGTGATGTTGAGGGTGATGGACGGCCGACAACAAGACAGACAGAAAGGGACAAGTTGGGCAAGGGACATACACTATGGTCGGTAAGACGGAGGTCTCTCAGGTGAGTTGAAACGGTGCCTCGAAACTCAAGCAGCGGTTCCTGGCAGGGCTGAGAGGCGGACGAGGCGGAGATTGGTGAGGCGGCCTTTGGACGAAGGGCCGCGGGCGAAGAAGACCATTCGATATGATGTCCAGGCCGCGGGTCGAAGAAAGAGATACTCTGTAAGTAAAACAAGAGAGTGGTGGAGGATGACGACAAAAGGCGGGGCGGTGTGTTTGGGACAGATTGCGGAGGAAGCGAGGTGATCAGCGGCGGAAGGCGGCCGGGCAGCGGATGAAAAGGAAAAATTGAGAATGTTATCGAGGTAAAGAGGCACAGTTCAGAAACGGTGACAACAAGAGCCGGGCGCTCGGGAGGCGGGGGAAAGAAACAAGAACAAAAGAGAAAAAGGAGAGAAAAAAAGAGTCTGGCCAGGGACAAAAGGGACCAGCCAGGCGATTCAGGTTCCGTAAGACAACGAAAAAAATGCTTCTTTTGATTTGGCGAGCGGCAGGCGGTTGGTGAGGTGCGACACAGGGGCGAGAGTGGCTCCTGTTCCTGAGCAAGTTGCTGGGCAGCTGTTGATATTGAAGTTGATTGCGGAGAGAGATTTGGAGACAAAGCGGATTGTGGATTGCGTTTGGCTTGGATTGTCTGGTGGCTGTTATTGGCGATGCCGGTGCTGGGCGACGTCTTGGTCGCGCTTGCCGTTCACGGACGAGCGCAGTTGAGAGAGGAAGGCGCAAGGGGAGCAAGAGTGGGATAGACGGAAGGAGGAGAGGTGGGAGGAAAGAGGTTGGAAGAGAAAGAAAAGAGAAAGAGGAAGGAAGGAGAAGAGGGAGGAAAGACAGCGTTTGAGGAAACAGCAGAGTGGGAGAGAGAGGGAGAGAGGGGCGACGTAAACGGGTGACCGAGTACGTCAAAGGTATCGATGGTGAAGGGAAAGGAACCAAGAAGCGACCAAAAGGGAAAAGAGAGAAGGGGAAGAGAAGGGGAAAAAACGTGGTGGTGATGCTGCGATCCGTCGATGACCCGGTACTGGGCAAGTATGTGACTGTGACAGAGGCGTTTGCTCTGCGCTTTCCGTCATGCTGGGGCGCCGGCGGCCCCTTGTGCAGACGCTAACTGTTGGTGGTTGGTGGAGAGAAGGAGGGGGATGAGCAATGGGCGAGGGGGGTTTTGTCTCAACAGTCAGGGCAGCAAGGCAAAGCAGGGGGAAGGCGCCACCGTGCAGTAGAGGCTCGGCGAGGCAGGAGCGAGGCAGGAGCGAGGCAGGAGCGAGGCAGGAGCGAGGCAGCAGGCAGGAACGAGGGAGGCGAAAAAATAAAGAATACAGAATAGGACTCAGAGGAACAGCGGCAGAGCCAACGCAGGAGGAGGGCAGGCGTCGGCGGCGGTGGGAATGGTGGTGGTTGGATGGTCTCAAAGGTGTGGTAGGCAGACCGCCCAGACTCCAAACGGGAGAGGCTCGAGAGGGGAAAGTCTCACCAAAAGGGAACGTGAAGAGGGCATGAGACAGGACCTGACCTGAGTACCTGCGCTAGAAGGGGGCCCAGCAGTGCAGCGGGTGCAAGGGAGTGGAGCAGGCGAGGACAGCGGGCAAGGGAAAAAGAGGGTCTGAGGGGTGGAATTACGACATTGGGGAGGGGTGTGTGCTGAGCGTGGCGTGTGGGACACAGCGACGGAGAGCAGTACAGCAGAGCAGTACAGCAGCGCCCTACAGAAATACAGTGGTATCTTACAGGAGCTGCACCACACTCAGCGCATACAGGGCATTCCGTGCCTTGTGAAGCTTCCTTTTGCGCAAGCCAGAAGCTCTTTCAACTCAACCTGGCCACCTCTAACGTTCACACCCACTCGTGCGTTTCCTTGTTTCTTTGTTTCTTTGTTTCTTTGCTTTTTGACAGGCACCCGGTCCAGCTACGTTCTTGCTCCGGGACCGTAGCCCTGCTGGAGGACAGCCGATAGACGACGGAGCCTCGACCTGCGAGAGCCGCACAATGCATAATCCTCTGCCCTGCGTCGTATCGCTGTCACTATCGCATATTATGCTCTCCAAATGACACCAAATGTGCGGAGTAGTCGCAACTGTCTGTTGCAGCGGAGGCCAGTGGCTGGATCATGGGGGGATCGTGCTTGGTGAAGTGTGCAAGCCCAGTGGCGACCATTTGTCTTCTGTAAATGCTTTGAAATCGCCCGCTAACATCTTGATTCGCCCACCTCCACTGATGCTCAGATGCTCTTCCCGCGCCCTTCCCTTGCTAAACCACTGGCCGGCCGCTAAGGCAGCCTTGGCGTTCGATCGAGTAAGGACTACCCCTTTGTGCAGATGTTGCCTGTGGCCTGTTCCTTGTTCATGTCTGTTTCTCTGCCTCAACGTATCGATTGCCTCGCCTGGCCAATCCTAGCCATGTCCGTTGCTGCCGTCCGTTGCTGCCGTGCCCTTTCTTTTTCTTTTCTTTTTCTCGCATTTTGCCCTGGCACGGCACAGATGTCTCAAATCGACAAACTTTATTTGTCCAAGGGGAGCCGCTTCAAAAAGGGCCAGCTTCTCCCTAGCCTCTTGTCCTGGGTTGTCTTTGTCCTTTGTCTCATGCCCCCTGCTGGCCTTTTTGCCTTGTGCTTTTGTTCTGCGACGTAGGTGACGGCGTCTCTTTTGTCTGGGAAAACAAAGGTGCAAAACGAAACAAAGGTGACAAGCCCAACGAGCCGTCACCAACAAAGAAGCCCATGTCATCGCATCTTCAAAGAAACGATAGCCGGTGCCCCGACAAAGGCGATGGCCTCTCTGGAGCTTTACAACAAGCTCCTCACACGAGAAACTGGCAGACCGGCTGGTTGGATCCATTTTGAGGCGTCGTCTACAATGCATTGCTGTTTGCACGTCGCATGTCGCATGCTCGCAACAGTCATGCACGGAACTGGTGTACTGATCGGAGAGAGCACAGAGAGCAGAGGGCAGAGAGCACAGAGCACAGGTAAAGACCCGAAGGAAACCGAGGAGACAACTAACCTGAAATACAAGCAACGTGACGATACACAAGCGCAGGCGCAAGGAGTACGTTCGACATTGTCCGTCCTAGACAAAGAAGGCTGGAGACACGCCATGTGGTGAATGCACTCGTATGCGGCCTGCGTCTGACGGGCAAATATGCTGTGCACACATCCTACGACTGCCTTTGTTGTGAGCAGTCTTGGGAGCTCGCGATGCGCAAGAACGAGCCCTGGCCAGCGGAGGGGCAAGATTCTGTATGCCGTATGTCGTAAGTCGTACGTTGACAGGGATTGTTGTCTAGGAAGCGCACGGCCCTGATCGCTTCTGTCACCCAGCACTCAAAATAAATCGAGGGGCAGGGACGGCTCGTATTTCTTGCAGAAGAACCCAGACATTCCAAAATAGAAAAAGAAAGACACATGTCCGCCACGATCAACATGCTGTCGAAGTTTTTTTTATTTTTTTATTATATATATATATATATATATATATAGGGTGTAAATCATAAGCTTACGACGTTTGCTGTACTGTGGGGACAGTCTTTTGTCACTGAAAGTCGGGAGGCTGGAAAAGACTGGTCCTAGTGGCAGATGGCGGCCACAGTGGGAAGGGGGGGGGGCTTTTCGTACGAATGCACTAAACTCGTAGCGGCCAAGACAAAAGGACCAGAACGACGGGCACGCCACTGTCGTCGCTGTGTGTCCCTCGCAACGCAGCGATGTGGCGCTACTGCAGGAGGAGGGGCCTAGAAGCCCACAACCAGCCAGGGGGAACGGAGCCCGCAAGGCACACCGCAGCGGCAGAGGGTGTGCGTTTACAAATGCGTTTACAAAAACAGAGCGGCAAGGGCTGGAGGCGACGGTACGACATTACACCAAAAGGACAGGCACACGGATTTTCCAGTTTGGGATGCACAGGCACAAAGCACAGGCACAAAGCACAGGCACACAGCACAAAGCACAGGGCACGGGATCCAAAATACAGGCACAACACACCGCCTTTGTAAAAAAGATGACGGTTTGGTCGGGCACAAAGGTACGCCGAGTTTGCTGAGCTACCATCTGCCTCCTGCGGTCCTGTAACTCTGCGCCTCTGCGCCTCTGTGCCTCTGTGCCTCTGTGCCTCTGTGCCTCTTTGCCTCTCGCCCACTGTGTTTCGTGACGGGACATATTTCTTATTTTCTCATGGCTCCAGAGTGCGACATATTTCCTTTCGAAACAGCGTTTTTTTTTTCTGGAGTGTACCTTTTTGCCCCCGTGAGCCTTTATATATCGCATTCTCCATTTCGTAGCCCGAGCATCCCGCTGGCGCCGTTGTCCACCGTCTCCGCGGCCTCCGCCGGTAATCCACTTCCAGTGCTTTTGCTCCAATGCGTTGTAGCTCCTCCACTTTAAGCCCACTTGCAGCCCATGTGCAGCTTCCATTGCGCAAGGAATCGACCGCCAGAAGCGCAGGATTCACGGTCAACAAAACAGACCCTGTCGCCTCCCAAGCGGAAAGCCACACCTGAGCAGACTCACAATAAAAACAATAATAAGACCCCTTGCGCTTCCCGTGCAAGCCCTTGCATGGGGACAAGGCTCGCATCGCGATTGCTGGTGTGCGTTCGACTGTGTGCGACGAGGTGCCTACTCACTTTTCTGCGCTGGTCCATCTGTCTACCTGACTCGACTGTGTTTTTGAAACGGAGTTTCTTACGGTGGCTCGAGTGGCTCGAAGGGCCCGTTGTCAGCAAAAACATGAGATGAAGCGACACTACAGCATGCACTAGGCAGTCGGCGATCACCAGACCTGCAAAACATATTAGTTGTCCCCTCCCCCGCCTCGCCGGCCGTCTATCATCGCGATTTGGACTTTGGTATCTTTGGTGTCTTTGGTGTCTTTGGAGGTCTGACGTCGATCAGGAACACGCACCATCAGCGTATCAGCAACGGAGAGAAAGCTCGCAGAGGGGGCTGATAGAACACGAGGCCCTACAGGTTGTGTAGCGCCCACTCCCGACTATAGGGTACATTCCTGTGCCTGGCCGTTCTTGGCCCTCGCCGTATCTTTTACGTCCAATTCCAATGTAGCGGCACAAGTAAGACTTACAACGTAGGCGGTAGCAGCTAACTCCGTCATGCCCACCGCACAACAATGACCAACAGAGAACGGCCTTTGTCAGGCACCCAAGGTGGCAAGGATGGCTTTGACACCGACGACGCCATACACCGTCCGAAGGCCACTGGCAGATTTCTCACGTCCCGCAATTCCCCTCAAACCAGGCGACGAACAGGCGAGGGGAAGTGAGGGCGGAAGGGAGACAGAAAGGTCACAGGTCGTAGTTGAGGAACCTGCCACACGGCGTAGTCGGGTGCCTGGCCTGGCCCTGTGCCCGCGGGCTTCAGCGGGTCGTCCACTGAAACGAGCAGAACCACCCACTGAAGATGAGCACGAATCCCCCCTGGCGTCGCGAAAGGACGCTGCCAGCCACAGTACCTCACACTACCAAACCGGCACTTTGCACTGCGCATTATTGCATGTACATCCCTCTAAGCGCATGCTATTTCAACGGCCATTGCGTCCATTTGTGATCATGTGCTCTGTAGCGCAGAAAGACATGAATGTGCCTTTTTGCGACTTCTTAGTCGTCCACCCATCGTCGACCTTGGGATGAATAAAGCCCAGTCTTAGGCGCAATCGAAGGGTTGCACGCCTCAAAGCTTCCCCAGGCGAGCGCGTCGCCACCCAATAAGTGACCAAACCTACTGTCGTCCTCCCATTGCCGGCCGGTTTGCTGAGTCTGTTCATTCGTTGTGGAGGCCATCAAGAACCTGACCTTTGCGCTTACGTGACTGTGGGGAAGCGAGCGCCGAGGGTCTCCGCCGGCCTCTATGCGGAGTGCTGCCGTACCGCAGCGGCGATGCCAGCCGGACAAGAACGACGACGTCTGGCTCCGAGACTGGATGTGCTCGCCAATATTCATCATTTTCTCTCTTGAGTTCGTGTGCAAGCACGCCTTCTTTGGGATTTACCCGCTGCCCCCACGGCTCTGTACAGGAGGTGGTTCCGAGCGCACCTGCCGCTTGTAGATAACATATGCTCTTTCCTGTTTACATCCTTCATGCAGTCCACGTCGGGCAAATAAATTGCTGCGGGGACTGCTTTATCCGGATGTAGAAGGAAGTATCCTCGAGATGACCGAGGAGGATAGCGGAGAGTCAACAAAACGGCAGGAATGGGGGAGGTAAATTGCGAAGAAGGGTAACGTTGTAGCAAAAGAAAAGTAATGCCCGAGGAAGGATTACAATGTCCAAGCCCTGTGTACTTCCCCGATTGGGCGAGCATCTTGGGTGTTTTGGTGATCCTGTGTTGACGACGTTCTGTCTTGATACCCCCTTTTGTCTCGCACCCTCTCGCCAATCGCCCACCCTCACAGGCCACGATGCATCTCGTTTCACGATGGCCTTCTTTTGGATTCATTGCTTTGTTCCTGATCATCCACACAGCGGACGCCCTCTTTCCTCAAAGACCTCTGCCGCCGGTGCCGGACCGCAAGTTCGTGGGCAATAAGCCGGTCCACGTCTGCAACGGCTCCGAGCCCAACTCCGGCGTTGCCTACTTTGACCAGCTGCTCGACCACTCGTCCACCAAGACGTCCAGCTGCAAGCCCCAGCGCACGTTCAAGCAGCGCTACTTTTGGTCCAATGCCACCTGGGGCGGGCCCGGCTACCCCGTCATTGTCACGACGCCGGGCGAGACCGCGCTCGATCCATACTGCAGCTTCCTCTTCCCACCGTCCCTCGTGGCCCAGATTGCCGCGCGTGTCCACGCAGCCGTCCTCGTCGTCGAGCACCGCTACTATGGCGAGTCGTCGCCGTTTCCGCGGTTGACGACACAGACGCTACAGCACCTGACGCTGCACAATGCCATCCATGACATGACGTACTTTGCGCGCAACGTGCAACTGCTGTTTGATCCCACAGCCGGCACCAGCAAGCGAAGCAACGCACCGAATGCGGTGAGCTTATTCCCGTCGTCTTTCTCTCTCTGGATCCATCGACCGCCTTGCTAACTGCTTGTACTGACAGCCCTGGATCTTGTCTGGTGGCTCGTATGGTGGCGCACTCGCCGCATGGACGGCCTCTCTGGCTCCCGACACCTTCTGGGCCTACCACGCATCCAGCGCCCCCGTCCAGGCCGTCTACAACTTTTGGCAGTACTTTGAGCCCATCCGCGCCGGCATGCCCGCCAACTGCAGCCGCGACCTCGCCGACATCACGGCATATGTCGACCACGCAACGACGACACTGCCACCGGCTGCCTTGGCCGCCTTCAAGGACGAATGGGGTCTCGCGGAGCTGACCGACCCGATTGACTTTGCCAGCGCCTTGGTGATAGTCACGCAGACATGGCAGGACAATAATCTCAATACAAACTACACGCAATTCTACCAAATGTGCGACGTCATTGAAGGATACGGGACTGGGCTCCTAAATGCATCCTCCTCCGGCAAGAGCAGCCGCGTCACACGAGCCATCGGGGCCAACACGGACATTGCCACGAAGGTCTCCAATGTCGCCAAGTTCTTCAAGAATAAGGTTCTCCCGGGATGTGCGTTGCGACAGGCCCATCCCTATTTCACAATGACGTCCGCAACTAACTACTGTTCATGTACAGTCTGCTACGACATGTTTGGATACGACGAGTACGCCCCACACAACAACACCAAAGCGCCAGTGGCCGCCTGTCTGAACAGCATGAATACCAGTAGTATCCTTTTCACCGACAGAGCCGTCAACAACTCGTATGCCGTACAGTGGACCTGGATGCTCTGCAACGAACCCTTTGACTACTACCAGACCGGCTCGACGCCACTGGGGGTTCCCGCCATTGCCTCGCGGCTCTTGACACCCGAATACTTCCAGCAACAGTGTGCTGTTTTGTTTGGGCCGAACAGCGCCGAGTTCCTGCCCACCCTGGCTGCTAGTGGAGGACAACATCCGGTGAGCGTTGGCGCCATCGCAGCCCAGGCCAACACATACGGCTCTGCTACCGGCAAGACCGTAGACATGCTGAACGCTGTCACGGGCGGGTGGGACTTTAATGCCAAGCGTGTTCTCTGGGTCAACGGCGAGTTCGATCCGTGGCGTCCTGCCTCCGTATCGAGCGCCTTCCGGCCGGGGGGTCCCCTCCAGTCGACGCCCGACTCGCCCGTCATTCTCATCAACGGCGGCCGGCACTGCGAGGACATGAATACTAGGAGTAATGGCACCTACATGGCCACGGTCCGTGCCCAGGAGGTCGCCCATATGGCGAGGTGGGTAGACGACTTTTACGATGCAACGACCCAGCCAGGCCAGAACCGGACGGTACCCAGGCTCCTGACAAGGAAAAGTCAGTAGGCGGTCCAAGGTCGTCGTCGACCACGGTCTCGTGCAACAGCTACCTCGGAAAATAAGGGATAATGAATAGAATAGATAAGTATTCGTATCGACGAACATTGCGTGGCTTTTCAAACCGGCAAAAGGCGTAGTGTTTGCCGATAGCACCCCCCTTTTGGAAATATCATCGGCCCTTTCGAACCTCTCCTCGCGTGTCAGTGGGAAAATGGCGGGGTAGTGCGTCTGCAATTAACAAAATTCCAAATGTTTTCTTTTCAGACCCCTGACTGTACCTGCCGGGAGTCATATGGTAGAAGAAGTATGCTTTCACGGCACCTCCACGGCGAGTCACACAAAACAACGGAGAATTGTGTTTCTCATATGTAAACTGAAACACGTTTTTAAATGTGGAGAAGCAAAACCACACTGCGAACATGCAAGAGTATTCAACACATCTCTCCGCAGGAGTCTTCAGCGGCTAGAGCAGGCAATGGCAGCTACTTCTCACCCTTGACGACATTAGACAAAGAGAATGTACAATTAAGGTCGTCGTAGTGGGCGGAAGCCACCATATGGTCCATCACCTCGTTTATCGTCTGGTGTGTGTCGATTGTGAGCGGGATTGGACGGAGGGATCGATCGATGTTGGCTACGAAGAACGTCTTTACTGTCATGCCATGGTGTGGACTTGTGACTTAGGGTTGCATTGACCCAATGTCAAGAGGACCTTGACGGCGATATGGAGAAAGAAAGACTAGATGAACGTGCTACTAAGAACGACACGCCCAATCTTGGGTGCCATTGAGATGGGCGGACTGCAATGCAGGGATAGGGCAGACATGGTACATGCGGGGACGACGATTGAAAATGCAGACGGCCATGAAACAAGGGTCTCTCGTCTGCCCGGTTAAGTAATGGGCAGACGGGGCCAGACCATTTTGTACTTTTCAGTGTTTTCTCCACATCGAGGTGACGACCGCAAGATGTACAGGATGATGCAGTTCCATGCTTCTGGAACTCTGGGTCGAATGCGGGCCTGGGGTTGAGCAGCAATGGGAATGTCGCTTGATGGCGAAGAGCATTCGTCTGAATAAGACTTTGTTCCATCAAGACATAAAAGCGAAACGAGTGTGTTTTTTTTAAACAAAAAAACTATTTTGTCTATTGCTGTCAGTTGTACAAAATTATTTACATGGACATGTAGACTTATTTATTTGTAGTGTTTATCATTTATTATGTTTTTTTTTAAAGTATACTTTGTACGCATGTTGCTCGTATATCTTAACGCCATGACTTCTTTACCCAATCGACGTTGTGTCGCTACACTGCGCGACATGTAATTACGGGGTTCCTGAAGCGAGAGCGGATTTTGAGAAAAACGAGCAGCCAAGCAGACGAAGAATATGGTACGTAGCCGGAGAAGAAAGATAAAAGAAAGACTTTGTTTTCCACAGCCAAGTTTTGAGACACTCGCTGTTCCAAGGGTCCAACGCCAGCGAGTTTAACCTTTTTTTTTGCCCAATTTTGTTGTCTGAGTGGACGAACTGTTGCCGTGCCGTGACCTGCGATGGTGACGACACTCGGGCGTCGGAGAGCCGTAAGTTGGGAGCGGTCACAGAAAAAAAAAGACAAAGAAAAGGCGTAGATGACTTAACATCAACTTGCTGCTAAGAGCAGTCGTAATACTGCATTTTGTTCACCTGCGTTGCCGGCATCGTTCGTTGGTCTAGCTGCAGTGTTGCATCAAATGCCAACATGAATTGCATCAACACCTCTTCGGCCTCTTGACGCCTGCAACCATAGCAAATGCGGACAACACCGAGCGCTCGGCTAAATGGTTGACGCACACACGAGAATAAGTCAGACCTGACATGTGTGAACAAAAAGGGTGCATCAAAATGAACTGTGACTTTGTCCAGCCGGGCGTTTGATCGCTTTTGATCGTCTGCACCCGGGCGGCCGGGCCACTCAGGACACACAATGTGCTCTGGGCACCGGCGTTGTGCTGGCAAAATGCGTGATGATGCACGCACTCCGGCCATACAATAAAGAAGAAATAAAAACACAGAACAAACAAGACAGAAAATGGGAAATTAACAGAGACCATTTGAACAGTGAGACAATGCATGGAAAAGATGGCCGATCAAGCTGTTTGTCCGGGTGTACGACTGGCAGTCATATGGCCCGGGTGACTGAAATCCACGACATACATCAACCTTTGACAACCCGAATCCATGTTCGTCTGGTGATTTTCAAATTTTTCTTTTCTTGATGTTTTCCACCCTATTTGCCTTGGATCCATCTATTCGAGCCCATATCGTCTGTCACGCCAATTTCAACGCCACGATCATCTCGTCCACGAACATCTCAACGCCATGACTGCATCTCATACATGAGATAGTGTCGTTGTCGAGTCGATTACGTTCCGTTCTGCCACCGTCCACCACCACCACTGCCGGCGCCATGGCGTTCATCGAAACGAACGCGCCGCGCATCGTCGTGTCGCTGTCCGTCATGACGGGCGTCGCCTTTGTCTTTATGATGCTGCGCTTCTTCTGCAAGGTGCGGTTCCACAAGACGTTTGGCGTCGACGACCACATGCTGGCGGCCGCCTGGGCCTGCCTCGTCGCCTACGCCGCCCTCACCATCACGTCGACCAACTACGGCGTCGGCCTGCACATCGCCGTCATCTCGAGCGCGGACCTGGTGACGGGCCTGCGGCTCTTGTACGTCGGCCGCTTCCTCGCCATCATCGCCCTGGCCATCAGCAAGACGTCCTTTGCGGTCACGCTCCTGAACCTCGCCAGCACGGCATGGCAGCGCTATGTGCTGTGGTTCGTCATTGTGTCGCTCAACGTCGTCATGTGGTTCGCGGGGCTGTCGCTCTTCATCCAGTGCAGCCCCATCCAGAAGGCGTGGGACCTCCATGCCGCCGGCACCTGCTGGAAGCCCATGATCCAGGTCAACATTGGCATCGCGGCCGGCGCCTACTCGGCGCTGATGGACTTTACGCTGGCGCTCTTCCCGTCGTTTTTGATCGGGAAGCTGCAGATGAAGAAGACGGAGAAGTACGCCGTCATCCTGGCCATGAGCCTCGGCGTGTTTGCCGGCATCACCGCCATCATCAAGACGTACTTTATCCTGGGCAGCCAGCGGTCCAAGGACTTTACCTTTACGACGGCCAACCTGCTGATCTGGTCGGGCGCCGAGACGGCCGTGACCGTCATTGCGGCCGCCATTCCCTTCTTGCGGCTGCTCCTGAAAGAGGCGGCCACCAAGCACAAGACGTCAAGCCGGCCCGACACCTATGACCTCGACGCCCTGTCCAGGTCCGGCGTCGTCGGTGGAGCCACGACCCTGACGCAGACGCAAAGGGCACCACAAGACCGCGACGACGCGAGCGAGAAGAGCATCTTGGGCGAGACGAAGCGTGGCCAGCTGCACGTCGAGAGCGGCCAAGCCAAGTCTGATTATGCATGAGTGGAGGGGGTGCTGAGGAAATTCAAATGTAAAAGTGCAATGATGTATATATTCTGCGGTTGTCTTCAGGTCTCATGAGCGGCGTTCTGGATTTCATGTTGTCTTTCTTGTCTTGGATAAGTACGATATCGGAGAGTAATGAACTGTATTGAGGATGGCCCTGGGTGAAGCCGCATGCAATGCCGAGACGGAACATGCAATATAAATAAACATCGCAATCTAAGGACAAACCCGAAGCCGTGGCGGGAAAAACAACGAGACACCATCAAGGGTCCATTCTACCGACACGACATATGCAATAGACTGCGATATTATCCATTGTGCTTGGACATGTCGCATGGTGTCGGCTCGGTGGAGAACAAATATTGTTGACAGGGCCTGCCAGACAGCCAAGTAAACATCCGAGTCAAATGGATTTCAAAATTGTAGTGAATACATCACAAAAAGACGAACCTTTTTCCATCGTCGGCTATGCATCTTTTACCGACTTCCCTTGGCCTCCTTGGCCTCTTGCCAGCCGTCCTCGCGGCCTGCTCTCGTGACGCTCTGCTGGCCTCGGCCGAGACGTACGTTGCCGCCCAGCGCAGCGGCAAGACCGACGGCCTCAAACTGGCGACCAATTTTACGTACCGAGAGAACAACAAGGTGGCAGACCTGGCCAAGGGCGTCCTGGGCAGCACGGCGCTGACGCTGGACGCCAACCGCTCGACGGCGGACACGGTCGCCTGCGCCAGCTACACCATGCTGATTGCGGCCGGCGGCGCCAGACCGTATGTCCTGGCCACGCAGCTGCGGCACGACGGCGGCGACCCGTCCGTCATCACGATGATCGACACGATTGCTGCCACGACGGGCGCGCTCTTTTTCAACGCAACCAAGACGCTGGGGTACATCCAGGCCGAGTCGTGGGCGCCCCTCGCCGCGGCCGACCAACCGTCGCGCGACGTGCTGAAGCAGATTGGCGACGCCTACCTCGACATGTGGACCGACAAGAACGCCGCCGACTCGATCCCCTGGGGCACCAACTGCGAGCGCGTCGAGGGCTCGAGCCTGACCCGGCCCTGTGGCGCGTCGCTGCCGCGCGGCGGGAGCGCCCAGGCCAACGCGATGCGGCGGTACGTGATTGACGAGACGGTCGGGTCCGTGGACGTGCTGTGTGCGTTCAACTCGCTGGGCAACATGCCGGACAGCCACGAGATCCGGGTGGAGGACGGCAAGGTCAAGTATGTACATACCATTACTGTGTTGGAGGGAAGCGGCAAAGGGATGTGACGTCGTTTTCTTAGACAAGAGTCAAAATTTCCTATCAAATGTCGTGCTTAACCGTGTGATAGTGCTACTGCTGTACGTAGGATATCTTCCAAGAACGCCTCCTTCCCTCGTCCTCCCTACGTCTTTACCGTCCAACTCTTGTCCATGTAGCTGTCCTTCCACTGCTTGGTGACAGGGTCGAGATTCTCCGTCTGGGCCGCCTCCCACTCCGCCTCGATCAGCTGCTTGCGTGCCTCGGACCGCGGCCGGATGGTGGCGCGGAACTCCTGGGGCATGCACACAAAGCCCTGCGTCAGCTTCTCCTGGTCCGGCAGATCGGGCTGTCCGCTGGCGTCGAGCGCCGGCGTGATGTCGAAGCCCCACAGAATGCGCGACATGGCCAGGAACAGGCTGCGCTCGGCCACGTGGATGCCCGGGCAGATGCGGCGGCCGGCGCCAAAGGTGAACTGGTCGCGCCTGGCCGCGTCCGGGTTGGCCGCGGCCTCGCCGAGCGACTGGCGGTCGTCGAGGTAGCGGTCGGGGTCGAAGCGGCGCGGCTCGGGGTGGCGCGTCGCGTCCATGTTGATGCCCCAGACGTTGTTGAGCACCCCCGCGCCCTTGGGGATCCGGTACCCGTTGTAGTCGTCGTCCGCCGTGACGGCGTGCGGCACCGCGCCCAGGATGGTGGTCGGCATCCACCGGATCGTCTCCTTCATAATGGCGCGCACGTACTGCAGCTCGGCGTCGTCGTCCATGGTGGGCAGGCGCGCGTCGCCCACGACCGCGTCGACGACGGCCTGGGCCTTTTTCTGGATGGCCGGGTAGAGCAGCATGGCCTGCACAAACGCGTAGATGGTGCTGGACGTCGTGTCGGAGCCGGCCTCGAGCAGCGTGCCCGAGATGTAGCAGGCCTGGTCGTCCGAAAAGCCCTCCTTCTTCTGGGCCTCGGCCAGGCCGACGCAGAAGCACGGCGCAATGGTGCCCTTGCGGATCTCGTCCTTGGCCTTGAGCCAGTGGCTGAGGTACAGCGCCTTCTCCTTGGCGTGCAGCGTCTTGGCCAGGCGCCGCGTCGGGTTGAGGGCCTCGGGGAGGCTGCGCAGCAGCGGGAAGGCGTCCAGCAGCGCGGCGGCGCCCGTCTGGTTGAGGTCGGCAAACTCGGCGAAGCCGTCAAACAGCTGCATCAGCTTGTCGTCCTGGTACGTCGGCGTGCGCCAGCCAAAGACCATGGTCGTCGTCAGCGCGTTCGAGTAGCGGCGGATGTGGCACAAAAAGTCCTCGGGCGTCTGCGTCAGGTCGTACAGCATCTGCTTGTTTTCCAGCACCTGGTACGTCAGGTAGGCCTTGGACGCGGCCACGTTGAGCAGCGAGTGGATCAGCTTGCGGAACCCGCGCCACGTCTGGCCGTAGCCCATCATGAGCAGCCGCAGCCCGCCGCTCGCCAGCGTCTGGCCGACATACAGCTCCGGCCGGTCCGAGTAGATGTTGCTCTTCTTGTCGAGCAGGTCCTTGACGGCCTGGTCGCTGCTGAGAACGACGAGCGTCTGGGTGCCGAGGATCAGCGAGAAGACGGGGCCGTATTGGTCGGCCCATTTGCGGAGCTGGAGATGCAGGTCGCGTTTGGGCATCTGTGGCCGTTTGTCAGTGGTCAGTGGACCGTGAGGGTAGACAATTTAGACAAAGCTGATGCGTCCTCTACACGTACAAGATGAATATTGCCAAGAATGGGAATGGTGGGCGGGCCGGGCGGGTAGTTCTTGGGCCGCCGGCCGACCATGAGCAGCCGCACGAAGCCGGTCACCAAGAGGAGGAGGAGAGATGCGTGGAGGATGGAAGACATTGTGTTGTAGTCAGATTATGTGATATCAGACGCAGTTGTGAGGGGACGGGAGATAAAAGAGCAAACGACGTGGAAGTGGATTGCAAGGTTTGCAAACTTATATCTACAATGCCATGATGGCATCGCCGCTTGGACGGACCTGGCTGTCATTCATCTCATTGGTCTCAGATTCGGATGCCAACTGCACCGTCGTGTCGTCGATCGACTAAACATTCCCCGTATCAATTATCCGGGGAAGATGTGGGAGGTAGACCAAATGCGGAGTACACCGGGCAGTGTACAAAAGATGTTCCGATATTGGTGATAGTTGACAGCAGACTTTGCAAGAATAGCTAAAGTGTGGGGAAGCGTCGGGCCTCTGTGGGATGGCGGATGTGGGAGGCACTAGGAGATGATGTGGGAGGCTGTGGAGGTGGATGCTGTGCTTCATTGGATGTACCCCAACGTCGCGAGAAGATAGGTGGACCTCGTAAACGGAGTCCAAGGCTAGTGTTAACATGCGAGTTTCGCCATAGGCATCTAGAAAAGAATGTCAAGAACACAGACAAGAGCACATAATTTTGAACAGTGATGCAGTCGTGGGGAGTGACATGTGCCATTCGTCGTACGATGTAAATACTGTCTTTCCTCCGTAACGCCGTCTCCGTAATACGCCATGCAAACCGTCTACGCCCGCCCTACATTAGCTGTACATTCCTAAACTGGCTAATCAAGTCGTTGACTTGCCGCATGCTCGTTTCGTCGTACTTTGTCAGGATGGGGTCGGCGGCGGTGTTGTCAACGGCAGGGTGTGCATGCAGGCTCTCGCTCTCGTCGGCCATGTCAGTCCTGGCATTCATATATGTCGGCATCAATGTGGGCATCCGTGCAGACGATTGTTTAGACAGCCCTGTTGGCTTCCGAGTCGACAAAGTCGATGACGCCGGCACCGACGAGGACGACGACGACGAGGACGACGACAACTGGTTGATGACCATGTGAGCCAGCAGCCAGTACTCGGGCGAGTGCCGCATGAAACCCGTGCGGCGCCACATGTCTTCGGGCGCGGTTGTGTCGTCGTCGTCGTCGTCGTTGTCATTACTGTCGTCATCGTCGTGGTCGGCATGGCGGGCCTTTTTGCCTGCTTTTGCTGGCGGCATGGGCACCATGGTGTGCGGCGGCCCCGAGGCAAATTCGTGCTTGTAGAGCTCCCAGACGGCCTTCCAGTTGGCCAGCCCCGTGCGGATGGCGTGCAGCTGGTCCTCGCCGCCAAACGAGTTTTGCTTCTGGAAGAGGAGGAAGTGGAAGGCGGAGACGATGCAAAACAGATTCAGCGGGCCGAGGTCGGCGAACGCGCGGCAGACGGCCGGCGACAGCGGGGCGGAGCAAAACGACTCGACGATTTCGCGCAGCGTGCAGTGCAGCAGGCTGCGCATGCCGTGCCCGTTGTGCAGCGCGCACCGGCGCAGCCACTGGTGGGCCGCCCGCGCGCAGTCGGCGGCCGTCGTGGCCTGGAACGTCGACTCGGGCCAGGCCGTGTGCATGACCATTTCCTTGATCATGACGCGCGGCGGCAGGTTGTTGAAGATGGCAAAGGCCTGGTCCAGCAGGTAGATCCACAGGAACGTGCGAATCAGCTGCTCGCGGGCCACAAAGGCCTTCCAGTGGAAGTCGTGCGTCTCGGTCGGCGCCGTGCCGCCGTAGTCGACGTGCCGCGCGGCGCCGATGCCAATGTCCCGCGCCACCGACACCACCGTGCTGAAGCGATAGCGCCGGATGCGCTGCTTGCTCTCGTCGGTGCCCTCCCAGTTCTGGTACAGGCACACAATGTACGACGCCTGCAGGGCCTGGATCGTGCGGCGGTGGGCCAGCGGGTCAAACGCCGCCGCCGACGCGCCCGACGCGCCCGGCCGCGGCGGACTGCCAAAGTCGTCGTCGATAAAGACCACCTCCTCGACGCAGTTGAACCAGATGCGCGCCTGCTCGTAGTCGCTCGCGTCGGGCGACATGCACGCGCCGATCAGCGCCATGGCCACCACCAGCACGCACTTGGCGTCGACGGCGTCAAACGTCGGCCGGTGCACCATGTTGACGTTGGGGTGCCAGCGCGCCCAGTAGAGCGCCAGGAACTTGCGCAGGTTGCCCGGCGAGAAGAACTGCAGGCACTGCTGCTCCACGGCGGGCGACCAGTCGAGCGTCACGGTGCTGTTGCGCGGCTTGACCGTGGCGACCTCGCGGATGCGGAAGAGGATCTGGTGGGTTTTGACAATCAGCGGGTCCTGGAAGGGCGCCGGTGAGGGTGAGAGGGAGGGCTGGAGAGACAGGAACGGGTCGGCGACGCCGGCCACATCGCGAGATGGGAGGCCCGCAGAACGGCCGACACCGGTATCACCCAACCCCAACGACTCCACAACCTGCAGGGCCTGACGGCGCGTGCCGCAGTCAAACGTGACCAGCCCGGTCTTCTTTGTGAAGTTGTCGAGAAAGTAGAACGTGTATGAGATGGGCAGCTGTTTCTGGGCTGGGACATGACCGGTCGATGATGCCAGCACATGGACGTTTGTTGCGTTGTCCACTTGGTTGTGTATCTGTGTGTTTGCAGTCATGTTCGCGCTCGCAGTTGTCAAATTCAAAAAGTCCAGCCAGCTGTCATTGTCGGCTGCACCGTGTGAGTGGCTGCTGTCCAAGAGAAACTCGGCAGCGCTGCCATCCAAGTAGACAAACGGCGACGGCTGGCCGAGTTCCAACATCGTGGGCATGTCGATGTCGGTCGTGGAGAGAGCTGTGTTTGCTGGGAGGACTGTGTCTCCGAAAGAACCGTGTATTCCGTTCATGCCGTCGACGAGTACAAGGCGGTTGTCGACATGGTTGTCTGAAGCGCCGAGACGACCGCCGCCATTTGTGCTGTCGTTCCTGTCGTTGGTGCCTTCGTTGACACTGTCGTCGTGCTCGGCATCTTCGATGCGCGTATCGTCACGCCATTGTGTCTCATCTGCTGCTGCTCTCGTAAACGAATAGTGGCACGCCAGTCCCCTGACGCCGCAGTTGGTACACGGCTGTCCCGTGCTGCAGCCCCGCTTCGACTGCACACACCGGTCGCATGCTGTTCTCTTGACCGAGAGAGCGCCGCCCTGCCGCGTCTGGCACGTCACAAAGTGCCGCTTCAGCACGTCCACCCGGCGGTATCCGCTGCCGCAGATGGAGCACCGGTGCGGCGGCACGGACGCGTGTGAGACGGCATGGCGTTGCAGGTGTTCGCGGCGTTTGTACGACTTGGAGCAGACGGAGCAGATAAACGGAGAGGAGGAGGAGGTGGAGGATGCAGTAGTGGTGGCGGTGGCCGAGGTGGAAGACGCGGTTGAGACCGGGACTGGAGGGTCGGACATTGTCAGTCGGAGTCGGAGCTCAGCTGAGTTTCTTTTGCTCGTTTCGCGAGTCAAGTCACCAGTCGCCGGAGATAGCATGGGCGGGCGCAGAAGAAACAAGATGTGAAGCGGACGAGCTGTGGGGAGATGTGCCGGTGAAAACGGGCTGTGGGGACTGTAGAGAACTGGGGATATGGCAAAGGCACGACAGGTGTCACATGAAGGCCGTCTACAGCGCATTGGACATTTGCCACCCAGAGTGAGAGGGACTGGACCTTGTTCCAGCGATTGGTCGTTGGCAGATCTTCGCTCTCCCCCGCGTTCTGAACTGCCAAGTTCTTAGCTTGAACTTTACTACTTTAGTATTTAGTAGCGCGCATGTGTGAGTGTAAAATCAAGCTGCCCAGACTCGGCGAATGCATCGGCTAGGCATCCGGCAACTTCTTCGGAAGCAGGGCGTAGTTGGAGAAATAGGATGATCTTGGGAAAAGAAAAACCCGGCGACATGTCACCAAGATCTTATTAAAGACATATTTAGATAGGTAACAAGTATAAAAAACCAGAAGACGAGAAGTAGCAGTAAAACACTAAATTATACATTGAAATAAACATGAGAAATATACGTCGAACCAGTTTAACGTGTCCTAACTTGATGTAATATGAATGTCTGATTTGGAACATCACTACATCACGACTGGCTAGAACTTCCACGCACACAACTCCGTACACCGCGCTATAGTTGATGACGTGCATCGATACCGTCTCCTTGATGTCCACCAACTCGCTCCCACGCCTAATTCCACCTCAGAACGGCCTTGACCGTCCTGCCGGCGTGCGCGTCACGGATGGCCGCCTCATAGTCCTTGACGTCGTAGTACTTGATAATCTTCTCCAGCGGCAGCTTGCCCTGCCGGTGCATGTCAATCAGGTAGGGGATGAACTCGGGCGGGTTGCTGTCGCCCTCGGAGCACCCAACATACTCCTTGCCGTAGGTCAGGTGGGACGAGATGTCGATCTTGGCAGTCGACCCGAGGCCGGGCGCGCCAACCGTGGCCGCGCGGCCGTTCATGCCCAGCGACGCCACCATGGTCTCGACCACAATGGGCACGCCGGCGCAGTCGACTGCGAAGTCGACACCGAGCGCCGGCGGCGGACAGACGGCGCGGATGTCGGCGACGATCTTGTCGAGGTCCGAGCCGCCGATGACGCCGTGCGTTGCGCCCAGCTCCTGCGCCAGCTGGAGCCGCTCGGCGTGCAGGTCGACGGCCACGATGGTGGTGGCTCCGACGGCTTTGGCGGCCATGACAGCGGCCAGCCCCACAGAGCCCACCCCGAACACCGCCACCGAGCTGCCCTGCTTGACTTTCAGCGTGTTGACGATGGCGCCCACGCCCGTCTGGATGCCGCAGCCCAGCGGCGCAAACAGCTCGAGCGGCGTGTCCGCCGGCACGCGCACAATGCTCGAGCGGTGCACAATGGCCAGCCGCGCAAACGAGCTCTGGCCGAAGAAGGTGCTGTGGACCGGCTTCTTTGCTTCGCCCTTCCCCAAAAACAGGGCCGTTGTGCCGTCCGGCCGCTTGCCGCCAAAGTTGCGGTCGTTAAAGTGGTAACAGTAGGCCGGGTGGCCCGACTGGCAGCCCGGGCAGGCGCCGCAGTGGGCAAACGACAGCAGCACCTTGTCGCCCGCCGTGGCTTCGGTCACGTCGCTGCCCGTTTCCACGACGACGCCGCCGCCCTCGTGGCCCAGCACCGCATTCGGCTCGCACGGCAGCCGGCCCAGGGCGCAGTTGAGGTCGGTGTGGCAGACGCCCGAGGCGTGGATCTCGACGAGCGCTTCGTCGGGCTGCAGCGGCTCCAGTGACACTTGTTGCAGCACAAACTTGCCGTTGAGCTCGGGCACCAGCAGTGCCGTCGTTGTGCGAGACATTGTGTGTGTGTGTGGATGTGTGTGGATGAATGTGCGCGGGTGTATTGTTGAATTCGAAACGAGATCTGGTTGTGTTATAATTCTCGCCGACCGGGCATCTGGGATTCTTTCTTGTAGGGTTCTTTCTGGATATCGTGCCGTGGTCCCTGACTTGACACTTTTGCAATCACTCTGCCGCTGCTCTGCCGCTCGGATCATTGAAGTCCAGCCCCGCTGTTCCCACATCGTCTCTTCTATCCGGCCAAGATGGGAGTATCGGCACTAACAGCTAGGGGTCGTCTAAGAGGCCAAATCCGCCAATCCGTAAGTTTGCCGCATCCACCTACCGGCGGACCATGTGGGCGGCACTAGTCTCCTGAAGCGCTGGGGACAATACAAGTGGCTTCTACTTATGATGTAAGCGGAGTGCATCCAGTGCTTCGTCGGCATTGTCGTGATTTCTTGCACAAGCCACTCCTTAGCGGGGTGGGCTCCCTTTGGCTTTCGTCTAATTTGCAGCAATGATAATCCGTTGTACGGCATCCCTGAGTCTTTTGCGTACTCTTAAAACACCGCTGTGAACCAGTCCAGTCCCTCCCTCGACAACAGCCTTTCGATTCCATGGATGTCCGACTCGAGGTCCAGCTCGATACCAGCGGACATGCCGGAGGTGCCATGTCCTCCCAGCTCATCAATTGGTATCGTGACGTGTGCAGCCACGGGGCAATATGGTACCCTTCGGCAGGCCCAGCTCCCAGCTCCCAGCTCCCAGCTCCAATATTCATAATATCTGCTGCAAGTGTCACCGGACTCTCTTCTGTTTTCCCGCCGGCCATGCGCACAGAAAAAGACTGGCGTCTCGGGCCTTGGTGTCCTCCCTTTCTTTCATAACTCGCCACGGACGCCTGCAACTTCATCAAGATGAAGCCGGCGACGAAGATGGCATGCAGGTCGCGCAGCAAAGAGGACATGGGCGCCAGACGATGGAGGCGGCGGTACAGCTGGCAGATTTGGCCAGAGGCGTCGGCGACGGCCGCATAGTTGGCCCAGCTGTCAGCCTTTGTGTTTGTGCCAGTGTCTGTGCCTGTACTTGTGTCCTGTCGTCCTTCCGTCATGAGCGGCTGGAGTAGCGACTGTCGGGCCTTGTAAAACTCGAGAAGCAACTCTGTCTGCCAGGTGAGTGTGGATGGGACGCAGTCGAGGTCCTCTAGGGACGAGTCCTTGTTTTGGCTTGGATGCCAATGTCGCAAAACGTATACGCCGTTGACCTAGGCGTTGTGCAGCAGCAATCGAACGCGGGTGATGAGGCAGGTGACCCCATTTCGTGTGCCGTGAAAAAGTGCGGGAAGTCGACTCTTGCCACATCATCGAGTCGTTGACGATGCTGCTTAAAAGTTGGTCGGAAATTGATCACAATTATGAATAATATTGTAAAGGAGAACACACTGTTGTGGCCGCAGGGGTCGGCGGCCGTCCCAATTGGGAAATATGGGGCCCTAAATTCCTTCCTGATTGGCCCGCGCTCGCAGCCGCCTCGACGACCGCATATAAATACAGCTCTTCTTTCTCGACGTCTCTCTCTTGTACTGTTGACTTTTTTCCCTTCTTCTCATTTTCTTCTTCTCTCTAGATTTTTCGTGGCAGTTCTTTGATTCAGTTTCCAAACCCGGTCTCTACCACCCCCCGCCGCCTTCTTTTTTTTTCCTTTTACACTTTCTTTACGAGGATCCCTGCGTGGCTCCTTTCCCCTCTCGCCCTATTTGTTTATTACACTTATTACCCTAATGTCGCTCCTGGAGCGGTTTTTGTTTTTACTCATTACTAACATGGCCCTCCCGCCCTCCTTCGTCGGACGTACGGGTGCTCCTATTAACTTGTTACTACGCTGTACAGGGCTGATTCTGCCTGGTACAATTCGCTTTTAGGGCTGCCGGGGTGGGAGATAGACAAACAATAAAAGTAGTTTTGATCCGAAAAGAGATAAAACGTAATGTTAATATTAAAGTGAAAATATACGTAATAGTTAAAAGTTAATAATAATTTATTTATACGACCGTAAGAAAAAAGTAAGACGAAAGTATAGTTAAAATAAAGTAAAACGTGAAAATTTTTACGAATCGTCGGATACGACGAATATAATCGAAATAATAGTCTTTAATTAATTTAATCTTATAAAGACTTATAAAAAGTTAACGACGAAAAAGACGAAAAGTAAAGTAATTTAAAGATTTAAAAACCCCTTTTTTTTATAATAATAATAACGATAATAGTAATAATACGTATTTAAAACGAATTCGTATATAATATAAACGATATACGTATATTTTATTACGTTTAAGAGTTTTATATAGTTTAAACGAATTAAACGATATTAAAATTTTAAAGAAATTTTATTAATAACTTACTTTTCCGGTCCGTTTTAAACACTCGAAATACGATATCGTTAAACCTTATATATATTATAACTCCCGACGTTTTTATTAATAAAACCCTTTTCCACCCTTTCGTTATAAACGTTAACGTATACGTTATAAGTAAAGTAAGTGTTACGGACGTTATAAACGTTATAAGTATTAACGGTGTAGTTAATAATAGTTTTATTACGGTTAATAACGGACTTATTACGGTTAAAGTCGCGTTTATTACGGACGTTTTAAACGTTAACGTAATTATTATAATTAACGGAACGGTTATTACGGACCTTAACGATTTAAATACTTTTTTACCCCGGACCCGGTCTAACGTAGTCGGTTTAATAACAAACCGTAACGTTACGGTCCTTTTCGTAACCGATCCGACGGTATATTACGGTCGGTTATAGTTAAATTTATTTTTTACGGTTTTTTTATAAAACTATAATTAACCGTTCCGATTTATTAAATATTAGACTTTAAGTCCGATTCGATCCGTTTCGGAGAGTAGTTAACTACGGTAGTAAACGATTAAAATACCGTAAACTACCCTTTAATTATAAATACGGTTAAACTATTAATCGAACGTATAATATATTATAAACTATTACGAGCCTTTACTTTTTTATTAAAAATTATTTTTAATTATATCCGGTTATTACGTATTAAATTTATATTTATAATAAGTCGTTTCTTATAATTTATTTACGTTTTAAACCGAAACGATTACGTTAACCTTATAACGTAGTTTTAATATTAAAGTAGTGTTAATTTAAACAATTAGTACGTTTATAACGGTTAATTACGGTTATTATTTTAAACGGTTTAAACCGTTCACCGATTACGTTACGTTTATAAACGTTAATAACGGATCTTACGGAAACTACTATTATAATTTTAATACTAGTAAGTGTACGTTTAAAGTTAAAGGTAAGTACGAAATATAAACGACACGGTTTATTATAACTATAAATTAATTATTTTTTTTTAAACCTTAAATTACGGCCTACCGTAAAACGCACCGTTACGGTCGTTCCGGGCCCGTCTCGGACGGTTAAAAAGGGAAAATAGGTCGTAACGGTCCGTAACGACGACGACGACGAAGATAACGACGATAATAACGATAACGTTATAATCGTTACGTTTATAAAACGGACCGGAATAACCCTTAGTTCGAAGAGTACGGTTAAGACCGTTAAGTTTTTTACCCTTCTCGAAAAGGTTATATAAAATATATAACGGATCGTATTACGCGTAAACTCCTTTTACGGGAGTTTAATATTACGTTAAGTTACGTATCGTTTAATTAAACTATATAACGGTTATATTAAACCTTTTCTCCGACCTTAAATTTATATAAATAGTTTATAAAATTAATAATCATTTATTATATATTATATTATACTATTATTTAAGACTTATATTATCGTAAGGTATTTTAAATCGTAATATATATAAGACCTTATTTCTTATTCCGTTACTTAATATCTCGAAGTTAGTGACGTATTACGTATTTAAACGTAATATTTAATAATAACTCTTTATTTTTAAGTAACCTTAATTATTAAGTTTATTTAAAGGTTATATAAAAACTCTTTTACTCGAAATACGATAAATAATTTATAACTCTTTATTAAAATACGAAAAAAACGTTAAATACGTTTTTACCGACGTATTTTATAATAAACCTTTATAAACGGTTAAACTCCCGTTAATTTTTTTTACCGATAAAACCTTTATTTACCGTTGTACGGTTTCGTAATACGAAGAAAATAATAAATAACTTTAAATACGATAAAATAACCCGTAAAAAGTACTCGATACGACCTTTAAAATAACGACGACGTTTTAAAAAATAATTTAATTAACACCGTAATAAAATTTAAAGACGACGAGTAATCGTCGAGTAACTTTTAAAATATTTTAAACGTATTTAAGACTTTCGACGAGTCTACGAGTCGGTACTTTACTATTAATATAAAGTATTCGGTATTAACCGTAACGAACGACGAAAATACGAAGGACGATAATATCTTTTACCGTTAATTAACTTTTTAACTTTAATAACTTTTAATTAACGAAAATATTATAATCGTATTATAAAATAATACCGTTTTTTACGAAAATATTTTATAACCTTTAACTTTAATCGTAATTATTATAAATTAGTTACTCGATAATAAAAACGAGAACGATAATCCTTTTACGGTACTTTTAACCGTAAGTACCGTTAAGACTTTAAAAAGGTATAAAAAGACGGAGTCGACCGACTTAATAAACCTTTCGGTTATTTTAAAAATTAAGTATACGTCGGACTTACCTTTAAACGAACGTATATAATAATAGTTAACCTTTAAAGGTTTTATACGTATAATAAAAAACCGTTTTTAAAATTAATCCGTTAGGTTTTAATCTTTAACCTTTATTATAAAGTACCGGTTTACTTTAATAATTATAACGATTTATAAAATAATAACGTTTTTAATTTTATTACTTACTCTTTTAATATTAATAAGTTTATTAATAATATCCGTTTTTTTAAACTAAGTAACGGGTTTTTTATACAAGGAAAAAAACGAGTTTTTTAATAATAATAATTATTATTCGGATTTTAAAAGTTTAACTTAATAAAGGTTTTAAAACCGATTAAACCGTCTTTAAACGTTACATTTATAATATATTATTATACTATTAACTACTCGTCGTATAACGTTAATTAAAAACGAGATACGAAGATATAAGTTTACGTATCTCGAAGTAAAACGACGAGTTATTAATACGGACGAATCACCGAGTTTTTACGGACCTTAACGTACTTTTATTTAAATAGGTTTAAATTACGGTATCCGACGGTTATTACTTTACGAGGGTTTAATAACTCCCGACGTTAATATAAAAGACGATCTCCTTCGTTTAACGTTATACGAAAGACTTTAAAGTTAAGTAATATTATTTTTATTTAAAAAATAAACTAAATAAACCGTTACGATTAACCGTACGAAGGATATAATAAATAAAAGGATATAAGTATTCGTATTAATAATAAGTAGAATATTAAAATTATCCCGTTTTTTATCCCCGTTTTTAATTATACTACTACTTTTTAAAACGACGTAAACACGACCGACTTTATAAATAACTTCTTTTAAAATATAAAAAACTAAAAAGTATACGATCTTTTTAACCGTATTAATATAATTATTATTAAAGACTTATAAATCCGTCTCGACGGTAAAATACGTAAATAATACCGTAACTTATTAATATAAATAAAGTATTAAATAATTATTAACTTATTTTATTAAAAAACCCTTCTCGAAAATAAGTTCCGTATTAAGTTTACTAATATTATATAATAATTATAACGTAATATAGTCACTCCCGATAACTTTTAATCCGTAAAAGTATTTAAACTTAAGGTTATACTTATAACGTAATATAACCGTTTCGTAAGTTATTAAAATAACGAGACCGTTATAAATACGTTATATAATTAATTATATTATAAACTTTAATTATTTATTAACGAACTATTTTACGATATATTACTACCCGACTATTAAAATAAAATAATTTTAGTCGTTATTATACGGTATTAAACGTATACTTTTTTTTTAAGTATTACCTTTTTCTCCTTCGACACCGTATAAGTAAACTAATAAGTCGTATCGTTTACTACTATTAATTATATTTAACCGAAAGTT